GTTTTGCATCGAGCACACTGGGATATGCACCCGAGTGCACTCACTGATTTGTGCCACATAGTCGCATAGGTGGAGCCTGGGCGCGTGCTGGTTGCAGATGCAGCTACATCACACCAGGCCAGCAAGCACGTTTCTGTTTGGATCAGGTTTGTAGAAATAAGCCTGCTGCCCATTGTAATTGTCGCTAAAACTCTTGGGGGCAGACATCATCAAAGGCATTCCACATGCCAGCAAAGCACGACATTGGGACTGGGTAAGGGCCAATGGCCCCCTTTTCCAGGCCGGGTTTGGCATGCTGGCCCCTTGCTAGCTACTTCAAAAGTAGTGCTTGCCAAAAGACTTTGATCCTTACAGATCTTACGCACACATCACACAATCATGCATCCCACCATCGAGCATGAACATGCCACTCTATTCCAGAAGCTGTACCATGGTGATGCATGGTGTTTCAAAGATACGGATCGATGAAAACTAATATATAACTATATATAGAAAATCTGAAGCACACTCCACTTGGTGGTTTGCACTGTCATTTTGCAGCTCGGTCGAACTCGGCGCTGCTGTGACAGGTACAGATGAGCCATTTGATCCTCCAGGAGCTAGTCAACGTCGATGGCCCAACCTGCAATGATCTTGCATGCGGTCCACCTCACGAGAGAAGGAAGCTAGACATTGCAATGCACCAGAGAAACTATATAGATAGAACGGATAGAGCTGATCTAGCAGCAGCTTAGAAGGGTCTGAAAGACTTGAAATTAAATATCAATATGGCCCTGGTTGAATTCGAAGACTGAGTGATAGGCGCATCCGCCAGGGAGTCGAAACGATGCCATCCCAAAGTAAGCCCATCTTGCCCATTCATCTGACCAGCAACATGCTGGAAAGCGCATGCACATGCATCTTTTAGAATTCCAAACATTTTGGTATGGATTTGATTATGGAATGAACAAGCCTGGATATCAGACTTGTTGGTTTTGTTGTAAGTCTTGAGATTCTTGGACTCGATCTTCTTGAGGTAGAAGCTACGTTGATACAGCCTCATACTTGCACACTAGGATTGACTCCTTACAGTTTCACGGCTGAGCATGAGGCTGCACTCCGATCGTCGACTTCACACCATCAGGACCGCGCAAAGTCCACGACCTTGCAACGAGAGAATTGGGAGATATTGGGGGAAAAGAGTTGACTAGCGGGTTTAAAGCTTTTATATGTGTGTTGTCTACACCCAGGGTCGATCAAAACAAATACAGCATTATTAAGTTCCTGACTTGTTCATTTCTTCCGGGCATTCAAAAAGGTCATCGTTCGATGCGATGGTGTTCAATTCCTCAAAGTCTTCTTCCATTTTTTTCTGGCGAGGCGTTTTTTCAGAGTCGAGCTCCTGCGTACAGCTGGTGTAGACACACACATACATGTCGTACATAAATGTTTAATTTCATCATTGCAAAAACCTAGTGCAGTGATTTGCATGTCCAATCCTCTGCCGCTGCTTTGCTTTTCTTTTTTGGTGGTTCGTCTGGAGTCTTTTCCTCTTCAAGCTTTTTACCTTTCACTTTATTGGTCTCTTTGGGTTTGCTAGACAGCTGAGGCACAGGCTTGGGTTTTGCCTTGGCCCTTCCTCTACCACGACCCCTGCCACTACCGCGGCCCCGACCACCACGGCCCCTGGCAGCCGGTCGCTTCTTTGGGGCATCTTCCGAAACCTGGGAACTGTCTTCCCCTCGCTCATCACTTGCTCTTCGAGGCCTGCCCCCAAAAAGCTTGCATATACTATATACAAATTGCCTGCATGTAAAACTCGATTGGCATGCGCGTGCTGTCCGAATAAGCAAACTACTCTTGTTCTAGCGTGCGCGTGTACTGACCCAGATCTGCCTGCAGGATATCGGTATCATTGGATTCAGCTTCCATCGCCAGAACCTCAAAAGTCTCTAGGGCCGCTGCAGCTAGTGGAGACGGCTGAGGCACCAGTGGGGCACGATCCTGCCGGACGAAATCAGAAAGCTTCCAAATTCTAACGGATTTGATCAAGAGAAAACATATCGCAGTGGACAAATATGCATACTAGCTATAAAAATATATAATAGTACACGGTCCTTGAAAGTTCCTTTTTTTCGATCCTCGTCTTCAATCATACCAGCATCTTCGGGTTCACTCATGTCCTCACCCTTTGGCAGTGAAGTTTCATCTTCATCATCGTTTTCTTCAGTTTGTTCATCCGAAGCATGTCCTTTGTCATCATCAACTTCCACGCAATCATCATCAGTCCGCTGCTCTTCCTCCCCACCTTCTCCTCGAGCATGATCTTCTTGAGCAGCCTCAGGTGATCGTGGCGTGGTATCTCTGGGCAGAATCGATCTGTCAGAGCGTCAGGGGGCTAAGTGTAGGGAACTACTGTGAGGATCCGGGTGCCATATCAATCATGACAGTGATCCAGGGGCAGGACCTCTTCACAGCATTCACCAACAGCTTCTGCATCCCGCTCCTGGCAATGTTGAAAAATAGGAGCTAATTAAATTGGAAACCGGTCACTTGATCAACTGGCCTTCTTGGCCTCCAGGGCAATTTCCTTCAGCTTGCCAAAGCTTTCATGGCCCCTCCTGTTCAAGAGTGTAGGTCGACACTTGAAACCTAAATGGTATGGGAGGACTCCAATTGCAAGTCCTACAATAATGAAAGTGGCAAACATACGACCCACACAACGATGAACACCATACGGATCCCTGTGATGTTGCGCTGTCCTCGCCCCAGTATTCCTGGATGCACGAAAGCACACGTATGATGCAAATCCACGTTGTCTTCCTGCTTCAGTGTCTGCCCAGTCCTGATGAGTATGTGGAGAAGCCATCACACAAACAATTTTCAACTGCATATAACGGTCGATCATATATTTGAACCCAGGTGATCATGTCCTCCAACTTTTTCTTGCTTTCAAGCTTGTTCAAGCGAAAGTCGTCAGCAACCTTGAGGAGGGCTGCCTGCAAGTGCTTGCATAGCCATATGGACAGATTTGGGGAGTAGCTTTTGGGCTGTGGTGTTCAAATCCAATACTGTTTTCGGTTGATGCTTGTGAGTGCCTTGCACTCCTTCATAGTGGGAAGAGCCCCGGCAAAGCTTGCAAGATAGGCCGCCAGAAAGTCAAAGTTGTTGTTAGTGCGACACACCTGACAAACACTTCAAATATACGTACTAGAGCACTAGAGCAGGATATATATATATATATATTTGTGTTTGCTGTTGCATCGAAAACCTAGTCATGGTACATATATATATATATCAAGTGAGCCGGACAGCCATAGTTGTGCCTACCTGTTCTTCGTTGAGGCGGTCCCCCTTGCAATCGAGGAAGCTGAAACCATGGACCTATCCCAGCCGGCAACGTTCAGTTTTAAAATTTAACTAGGCCACCAAATGTCTGTTAGTTCCGACCCTATCCTTGCCTTCTTTCCCTTTTCTTTCAGACTTTGGACCTTCTTGGTTCTTTCCTTGATGAAACCATCTTTCGTAAGGAAGTCTTTGTAGAGCTCCTTGTGCAAACACTAGTATTACACCACTTTCTCCAGGAAAACGGGGATTCGTCATCCTACATACCAACAAAAAAATCTAAACACCCACCACCAATCCAGCTGAGTGGAATCATGGCTCTAGTCCTCAAGCAGTGCCACCGTCTCCGGCCGAGGTTTCGAGTCCGGCATTGCGCAAGCCAGCAGCCAATGGCAGGGGATGATCCCCCACAGGTCCTACTACATCGCCTACCTATCTCTCTCTCTCTATATATGTGTGTGTACATGTACATGTACGGAAAAGTTGGAATATGGCGGCCCCCCTGGAACATTAAACTCACAAGCGTTGTCGACCCTGAGCCCAAAAAAATCGCAGACATAGTGAAATTGCCGTGCGCGTCTGAAATGCTGCGCGACTCGAAACTCTAGGGATGTATATGATTCCTTTGAGAACGATGGCAATTAAGGCTGGGGAGGCACCTGGACCATCAGAGCATGATGAGTCCTCTGAAGCCAATGTCCAGCCTTATCAAGTACGACAGGTGTGAAAGTATAGAATTGAAAACGCTGTCACTTCAAAGTAATGGGGTATACCTCTGACGCTGCAAGTTTCAGAGCTCATGGCCCCACTTTCTTATCTATAGCCATGAAATTTGTATGTATCAAATTTGGCAACCATGCCTTGATGTGAATGAATCGTTGAGTCCCAGGCTCAAAGATTTCAATCCTCTCTTCATAGCGGCCTGGGATCACTAAGTTGCTGACCATCCCCTTTGCACCCATTACCAAAAACAACCGCTAGGCTTTCTCCAAACTTAGCCGAAGGCTCACATGGGCCCATGTGGCTGTGCGATCCACTGCCATCGAGAATGCTACCCGCACAGATAGGGTGATGCTCGATGATCATGTTGCAATATATGTTGCAATGATAAAATAAAAATTAAGACGTTTACAAATTCCATGCACCCAATGCTTTCTGACTGAGCCACATTGCCATCGTTCTCGAACTTGCGAGTGACACACTCCAGATGTACATGACAGGTCCATGGATGGATATACATGATATAGCTAAAGTACAAGTTAAACTTGAACGTTCCAAAAGGACAAGTTAAACTTGAACGTTGACCAGCTGGGTGTGAACAGTTACAGGTGAGGAAACACATTGACAAAGCAAATCCTCAAAATAAAACTGACACCGACTCCAACAGTACAGTGGTACAGTACGGCAGTACAGTACACTGGTACAGGGGTAGCCGCTTCCAACGAACAGGTGACAACTGCCTGAAGCTGGACACGAAAGTCGCACACATGCATATCAAATTGAAGATATTAGGAACACATGCAGCTACAGTGCGCTGGGTGCCCATTATCATCCACCAAATTATATTGATCTACAACCCATCCCTTTTAACTCCTGCTATATGAAGTTAATTGAAGTTACTACAAAACGCTCCTCCATTTTTCTGCTTGGTTCACGCGAAAACGCTTCTCCAGCTCCTTTGGCCGCTGCTGAACTCTTCTCTGCATCAAAGGCATAAACGTTGGCATTGGAGGGAAGCTCCCAGCAGTAGTCGGGTTTGAGGCCTGTGGCGGATGTGGCCCAGCCCTCCTGCATGTTGATGTGAAAGTTTCTGAAGCAACGACTCAGAATTACCATGGTGGCAATAGGGATCCACTGAGTTTCTAGCATTTCAAGACTACTCATGTGTACGGTAGGGACCAACAGAAGGATCCCAAAGAAGGTGAGCTGGGATCCTGACACATCCCTTTCAACAGAACGTTGACAACTTCAATGACCCTTCCAGAATCATGCATGCCAATTTAGACGAACTTTTCCACATGTGCTTAGTGTATTGGCAATGCAGCTTGCATTCGAACGTTACATACATGTGTTCCGTGTGCGCGGCCCACCCACCCCTCCAAAGTCCGCTACTTTCGCCGGCAAGCACCGCTACACGATGCTACATGGCTCCGACACAGAAGGATTTCACTTCCATCCAGAAGTCAATCGAACAAAGTCAATCAGGCAAGGGAGAGTCGGGGGACACAGCGCTGGTTGGAACGTGGGTGGAACAAAGGACCTGACAGAGTTCAGCTGCTGCCATTGAGGCAGGAGATTGTTTGCAGTGCCCCAGCCCTACCAGCCAAAACAGGAGGCTAAAGGCTAAAGATCCAAACACCTGGGGAAAAGAAATTAAACAACACGTAGGGCACTTGGGTCGTGTTTCAATTTGTTCTCTCCAGAATTCTGACTAGCTATGTCATACGCCAGCTGATGGCGAGCCCACCCATTTTCAGCCAGAACTAGAGTGATGAAAGCTTGTTGTGCCACCAAACGTCATGCTTGGATGCCCTGCACAAAGCCATAGAGCAAGCATTTCAAGCCTGCTCCATGTGTAGCAGTGCGTGGTCATAATTAACATCTATGGCGGTGGAATGTCCGTCAACTAGGAGTCCCCATCCGTTCCAGCCTGGAGTGGAGCAATGTTGGGAGAAATCGGAGAAACCAATTTCAAGCACCTTCGAACAAAGAGAACTCCAAAGGAGGGATTCTTCTGACGTCTACGATTGTACTGTATCCATCTTGTACGGTATAACATGCAAGCCGACCACAACGGTTCTCCCGGCCTTCAGCGTAGTTCCGCACCTGGGAGAAGCCCAAAAGCCGCCGATTGGGGCGGTCGAGGACGCCTAGGGCGGGCTCATCGCAGGAACAGGGGGAATGTGATGGCACTGGAAGCAAGGGACGTGTCGGGTCATGACATGGTAAACCTTTTGTTGATTATGTTCTGAAAACAATCAAACACATCAGCCTGGTTCCGTGACCGTCCGTGACCGTGAGATCCCAGGATGTTCGGTCAGAAAAAGAGGACTGTAAGTTTGGTCACAAACAAAGACTCCAAAGAAGTCACGAACGGCTCAGGTCCTGGCAGCTTGCTCAAGCCCTAGTTAGTTGATGTTAGTTGGTTTGGTGGGGCCATTTCATGTAGAAGCTGGAACCAAAGATCAGGATTAACCCCTACTGGTAGCTGCGACTTTCCAACGCCACCAGCCAGCATCAAAAGGATGCCCTGAATCCTTCTGCATCTTTTTGTGGATCATCTGTGGGCATACTATGCCTTTTCCAATTTGAGTCTTGGTCCGACGACCATCCCTACCCCAACTCAAGAGTGACCACAAACTACTTGTTTGAAGCGGCCTTTTGTGGACCCTTGCGTGGTCTCATTCTAGCACATGTTCCACTGCTTTTTGGTGGTAGCAGCTGACAAGACGTGGGTCAAGCCCTTTGCCCAGTGAACCATTAGACTCTTGACCAAAACACAGTAAATATAAACTCTCTACCAGCACCCCCAATGGGTGGTTAATGGACACCCCACGGTGTCGGGTCCTGGTACATGCAGGAACCGTTTTTTCCGGCGGACGTCCCACCGGTCAACCATCGACCGGTGGACAGTCCTCCCCGAACCTGCAGTCCAGACACACAAAAGGCGTCTCCAACAGGAGCCTCAGAGCGATGTTGTTTCGCGGGATACAGGATATGGGCATATGATTCGCTTTTGTGGGGGAGGAGGTCCTGCTGTCTAAGACTAAGAGTGCTTCTGCTGACATCTATAGTGACTGTATGAAATTTATGTAATCCTACTTCGCCTCTGGTGCAACGTTGTTGGCGCAACGCGAGGGTCGAAGAACTCACGTCGGATCGCCACAGAAGCTTTGTCAAACGGATGCAAAAGGGGTAACCATACAATATGCTATTTTGAATGTAGTTGGAGTCGTGCAAACACACAACTCTGCGACACTGTGAGAATGAACAGCCATCCATAGTTACCAGCAGCATAATGACAAAAACATGGCTTCCAAACAAGCTTCTTGCAAAAAGGTGGATCTTGCATGTCCAATGCGAAACTCTCCCAGCAACCCGTCCAAGCTGCTGATGAAGCCCCAGCCCAAGTAGTGCGAGACGAAGCCGGCGTCCCATTGTTGGCTGCGGGAGGTCAAAAAGTCCATCCACCGGGTGGTCTCCTGTCGAGAACCGGATCTCGTTCAAACGGGAAGAGCGGAGAAGAGTGATGGGACCGGAAGATGTGCTACCGTGCTACCCCAGGCGTTCCAGGTCAACCACCCCCATTTGTTTTGATAAATATGCCAGTCCGAAGTGTCTGGCTATGGGTTGATCGGACTTCGAACCATTAAAACGCTGCTTGCACTCCGTTTGAAGGGAAAAATCTACCGGAAACACCGGTTTTCAGCACCAAAACTACCTGGACCCTCCCATGGGTGTCCTGGCTGGACTACCCTACACTACTCAGGAATCTCCAGCCAGGACACCCAAACAGGATGCTCCAGTATAATATTTCCTCTAATTTCTTGCCCAAAACCATTAGCTGCTGTTTTCTTACTTCCCTCAGCCGCATGGTCTAGCCATGTCGAAAAGCCTTCATCTACCAGTTCCAGCCGCTCCGGACCTTGGCGGTCTTGGCCAACAAGTACTCCGTGCGGCCGTCGGTGGTCTGAAGCTCCAGCCCGCTGCTGTTCCGCTCGCCTGGGGTTCGCAGCAGAAGGGCCGGAGAGGACGGCGAGGACACCGCGTCCCCAGCCAAACCCGCCGCAAGGCAGGCAGCCGAGCGCTTTTGGTTGGATAGTTGTTGATGAAATTCATTGGTCACCTTCAAAGTAAGGGATCAGGCTGGAAGCCCCAGCCCACTGCTTAGGGACCTCCATTAGGTCCAGATAGCTTCTGGGGTGAGTAGACTGAGTGGACCCCCCCCTCCTATCCGCCCGCTGAGGCTGTCACGTGCGAGCTGCCGCGCGAAGTCGGTGGCGTAGAGCGAGTCCAAGAGCTGCAGCTCGGCGCCCGGCAGCACCACGTAGAAGGTGCCTCCGCACCGCAGAGCTCCGCGCCGGTGAAGACCAAGGGCGGATGGAACAAAGGGCAGCGGCTTTCTTTAAACCAATGGGTTTGCTTAGACTTATACACACCTACAGGTAGGTTGGTCTATAATAGTGTTGTAAAAAATAGCTAATCTCCTTTGAGATCTTTGAGGGAGTGTGCGTTTTGAAAAAGAGAGCAAATCCAGGTGCATTAATTAAAGAATAAACAAATCAAACACACACACAACAAAAGAACCCAATTTTAATCACATTTGGCAAGTTTCAACCAAAGCCAAAACATACAACAAAACGGCAAGACCCATAGCGGACCAAAAAGATGACATAAAAAGCAAACGACATAAAAAGGCAAAGCAAACGACAAAAAAAGCGGCGGACCATTCCAGCATCCACGTCTTCTTCTGCTCTTATCATCCACTTGTCTTTGTTAAATATTTCTTGGACTTTGGACCTGTGTGTGATGAACACCTCCCAATCCCATCTTGGCCATGACAAACATCAAGTGGAGATCGACTGATCTGCACCTTGGATGAGCTGGATTTGTCCACTTCTGGGGTTCGTGATGGTTCGTGTCTGTGCGGAAAGAAAACACCTGCATGGCCCAAGAGATAAACAAGGGCCCCAACCGCTTGGGTTTGTGCCAGGTATATATCTGACCGGACACCGATGGACATGCATGGACGCTGAAACAAACAAATCCAATGGTCTGGAGGGGCTGTCACTCCTTTTTCTCTTTCCCAACCTCGGAGCGAAGCACTGCTCGTGAAGGTCTTCACCCTGCGAAATGAGCGAAACAAGAAGACCAGGGAGTAGAGTACAAGGCGCCATCAATCAAAGCTTGGGGAGTAAACTGATCAGTATGGTATATGGTGTTTGAGATTCTATACGATGTATACAGTGCCACGACATACCATTGACCATCCATGACCGTCCTTGAACACAGCATTTAGGATGTTGAGTCGAGATATGTTGAGTGTTCTTCTCTCTGGGTACTGCCAAACTTGTACTGGATTTGACCACAGGGGGTGAAGTCATTCTTGCTTGATAGCTCTCATGCCTGGACCTGAACACAAAGCAAGCTTTATGCACAGTATTCCTGGGCCGACGTGCACCAGTTGACAAATGCTGGACCCAATCCAATGCAAAAATACAAAAAGTTACCAGCAAGTAACCTAAAACAGTTAAAGGTTCCCACGAACAGCGCTGATGATGTTCCCTTGACTTTCCTCATTGATTCTGCGATCACTGGCGAGTTGTTTTGGTTCCGTGCACCTGTAAAGCACCAACAAGGCACCACGAACTTCGCACAAGTAGGGCTTACAGCGACCTGCAGGTCATGCGCCGTTTCGCGGGGACTGATGGAACCGGGAGCTTCCCCCTGCGAGAGCTTCCCCCTGGCTCAGACAAAAACATGTCCGTACCTCAAATGTGTCAAACTGTGGGACCTGCCCACCAATCCCAGACCATGCAGGGACTGGAATATATATGGTTACTTACATGGATGGGGCATGTTGCATTTGGTTTTGTGCTCAGTTTGCCCAGATTGACACAGGCATCAAGAATGCCGGCTGATGTGTGTCAAGTGTCATAAGCGTCATGTATTGGCTGTTGATGTATATATATATATATACCCCTCCATTCAATAGCAGTTGGTGATTTCTTCCAACACAGAATGACATGGAAGTCGCCCACATTCGTAGCCCTCAAAGAGGTGGGTATACTATTCTTGAGTCCAAGCAGGGAGACATGGTCCTGGGCTTCAAGTCTTTGCCACACATCAACTTGATACCTGGTCACCTTTTCAAAAGAAGCCAAGCCTTAAATGATTTAATTATGATTTAATTGAAACGGGTTCAGGATGCAAAGTTACAGTAAAACACTTGGAATAGCTTCAGGGTAGTGCCACATTTACCCACTTTGCCGTCTAGTAAACTGGAACTTCCGAGTTTCGCAACATGAAAAAAATAGCATGAATCAAGCCCAACAAAAATAATCAAAAATATGATATGATATGATATCAAGCGATCGCTCTAACATCTGGACCCTCAAAAGCACTCACCAACTTCTCGCTTCAGTACAAGATAGTACAAGTATAGCTCAACTCTCCAACCACCACACCAAACATGATCAACACACACTCCACTGAATGTCACTCCAAGCCCCAATAGTGACCTAGTTTTTGGCTCACTTGAAGCTTTACCCCCCACCCCGGGGGGGGGGGGAAGATGTCCTGCGTTCCAAACCGCTTCCAAAGCGCCTGAGGGCCGCCAGCGCTGCAGCATCCCCGGGGGTGGGGGCACGCCGTCCGGCGGCAGCACGGCATCGGGGCCTACCGCTGTGGGTGGAGGGGGTCATCATCAGGAGTGGATGCAAGACCATTCTTTTTTTTCCGCCTCATCCATGGTTTGGACGTGTCTAGGCGCACCTATGCGGCCTAGACGTCCATGCGTTCGACCATTTCGAGACGAAACCAACCGTTGGAGATTCATGAGAGTGGGTGGAATGGGAACTATCGGGGTTGGATCCAGCGGCTCAAAGTATGGCTAGTGGAAGCAGAATCTCCTGCTCTCAATGGAATTCCTGTGGTGGCATTGGTGGTACGAGTCAAATGTGGTCAAAAAAAAAGGCTTGTGTTTGTGCCGTTGGAGATTCACTGGTGATGACAATGAGCCAACACAAGCAAATTGTACATGATATGATTCAACTTAAATGATACCAATCAAGTGGATGTTCATGGGTTTTCTGAAGGTCACAAACAGAATACATTAGAATACAAAGTCTTCCAAAAGTCTGTTTGTCCAAACGCTCCATGATGCTTCCTACATCTTAGAACATCTCACAGTTTGGCTGCTTAGAACATCTCTTCAAGGAACGGCGTCATCCTCCGCGTTTTGCGGGTCTGTTTGGTCGACCAAGTCGACGTCACCGCTTGACCATCCCCTCGCTTCAACGTCACCGCCTCCCTTCTCGTTCACACCGATAATGGCGCTGCCGTGCCACCAGTCTTCAGCAAAGCCTGGGAGGCAGAATTCTTCTGATGGAAGAAGCCTGGAAACTGTCAACAACGACCACGGAATTCGGTTGCTTTGGTGATTACATGGGGCTGGGCCTCGTAGTATTTCCTTGAACAGCAGAATATGGTTCAGCAATGGAATCAATAGCAAGAACGATCTGTGCCTGTGTGGGTGTCGGTGTAAGAAGACAGTTATCAATGTCAACATGTTGGTCATAGAGAGGCCAGGATCAATCGCAAGGCAGCGTTTTGAGCCGTCGAACATTGCGGGAGTCCACTATCACTACCAGCAGTCTGGAGGCGGCCCTTCTTCGAGACGACCACCCTTATATCATTGCTTTCCCCGCAACCCATGTCTTGGGATCGGGATCTCTTATTTTGGTTCCCACTGCAAAGACAAGCTCACTGACTTGATTGTTGACATGATATTTTAGACACGGCTAACAAGCATACAAGCAAATCTTTCGGAATATACGTGAGGGCCCCCAAAGCCACTGATCTTGGAAGGTGGTAGACACTAGGACCTTTTGGACTGTAAAACTGGGCTCCCAAATGTATCGTCCAATCTTCTAACATCTAAGGTAAAATACTACTATGGCTGTTGCTCAACAGCCAGGATACCTTTATTGACCTACCTGGGAGGTCAAACGACATGGTGGACCAGAACTCCAGGGGCTGCAGGGGCTCCAGGCTTCGTCCCAGTTCCTTCCATATCGGTTCCCAACCCCTGCAGAAGTTGCGTCTCTTTCGCATGTTCCAAAGCCAAGCATCTGAAGGTGTCAATGGCCTGCGACACCAGCTGCCCCACCGTGCTCCGCCGCGGCGACCGCTCGCGCTGGATGGAGTCCTCGGAGGTCTCACGGCCCATCTCGTCCTGAGGAGACTGGGTGGATGCGAGGGATGCGAGGGATGTCGACCCTGCGTCCTTTCTAGCGATGTGTTGTAGTTTTGAGACCCATGTGTGCATAAGCATATAGACAACCTGGTACAAAGCAAAGACCAAATGCAAAGAGTCGAATCTCGAGATAAGAAGCAAAGGATGCAGCAAAAAGCAAAGGTTGGAGTTGGAGGGTCATTCTAAGACTCTGCAAAAACGGCCTACGAGAATGGCTGAGGCTAAGATAGGGGGAGACTTGCCGCACAGACGCGCAGCCACCCTGTGGCTCTCGAATGCTCTCGAGACGAATTTTTCCCTTGGTTCAGGGGATCATTGAAGGAGAGGGTCTTGCGAGTCTCCCTATTTACTACCCAAGTGGTCTGCGATAAGGGGTCAATCATGATTTAACATCTCCATCAATTCTTCCTCCACGTTACTTGTCTCAACTTGTTGGAGGCCTCTTCTCACGGGTCTCTCCCACCTCTACTCACTACTTCCCAACCCTTCGCCACCTCCATTTCCCCACATCCCGTCTCCCCAAGAACGCCACCAAGAAGCCCCCCAAACCAAACACACTCGGCTCCACTCCGGCCTCCGACGCCGTGTCGTTCTCCTCCAAGTCGAAGGTCACCGCCTTCGGGGGCCCTTCAGACGTGGGCGTCGTCACCTCCTGTCGTCTCTGGGACGATGCGAGGCTCGCAGCGAAGGCCCCTCTGACCACCAGCGTGGACGAGAAAAAACGGCTCAGGTCACAGTCAACGATCTCCTTGTTACCCGTGGAGACCGACCTCTGACTGCCAATTCGACTGGTCGAGAGCGCGTGGTTCTCGGACCATCCTGTCTGGATGTGGACTCCCCTACACTACTTATAGGGATCTGCAAAAAGGACATAACAGGACACCCTCTCGATGGTCTTTAGGAACGTTTTCTAGATGTTTGTTCGCAGCCGGTCTCGTCCTCCTTCTTTCGGTACTCCTCGCGGTGGCCATAGAGCTCCTTGGAGGGTTATAGACCCATTGATGGGGTCGATTGGTTGTAGACCCATCCTAGTGAGTAGCATGCAACCTCCAAGCACTTCTGAATTGAAAGCTGATGGTCAATTCTCCAAAGCTCCGTTTCGAGTGAAGGATTTTTCTCGACCGAAGCCGTCGATTGTGGTGACCCAAAACATCACCCAATACATCGCGATGCATCGATGTACCACATGGCAACCAAGCCAAATCACTCGCCGCTTGCCCTCGAGACCAAATCCGGTGGACCCCCCAATCCCTCATTCAATGAGCCGTGCATAGAACCCTTGCAGGGTGTGAGTTTCTATCTGGTTTGAGGGAAGAGGAGTCTCTTCCAAGATGGTCTGTCAAGGGGCAGTCTGGACAAACTTCAGATCTTCCTGCAAGTTTTCCAGCGCCAACTTCCTCAATCAACCGCACATGTCGTGTGGGCCGCGTGGACCGCGCGTGTCGTGTGTGACAGTCATACCGGACTCGACCGGGGTGTCGACTCGATGGCTGAGCGAAAGCAGGACGCGAAGAAAAACAAGCTTGTGTGCCCAGTTCAGGAAACTGGACAGTCAAAGAATACCAGTCCGAGTCCGAGTTGATTCAGAAGAATCGTGCCTGTGGCGAAAGACGGCCGCTCAGCTGATCCAAGGAGCTGTTTGATGTGACTTATCTTTTCAAGATACGAATCGATCCAACATCAAACATCCAATACGAGTTCTCATTTCGAAGAACATCGAAAAAGGCACCTGGTGCAGGACCTGGTTTAGGTGGCACGTGGTGAGGGGGGGTTCAAAAAGATCACATGGAAGAACCCCGGTCAACGTAAGGAAATCCCTAACCCTGAAGTAAATGGAGCAGCTGCCCAGAGCTTGGTTTGGGCCATTTGAATGACCTGCTTCCTTGGTGACCCCTGCCTTCGAGTGAATGATCTCATTCACTCCCGTTGGGCCTAACCGTTCAACCGGTCCCAGCGTCTCATGCGCCAAGTTGACAAAGGCCGCACCCGCGAGGTTCCTCAACTCCTGGTGTCGATGGCTCCGCGAAGAAGGCACGACGAGGCTCTCCCGTGCGACGGTGCGACCGCGGGTGCGACGCTTGAAAAGAAGCTCTTGGACCCTCGGGCAGTATGTGTCTGCGCTTGTTTGGATTGTTTCTTGGACAAAGCAAAGTAGGTGAAAACGATCTATTGAAGGATGCCACATTGAAGGAGAATCCAGATACTCCTGCAGGCCTTGCTAATGAGTACCTGCATTTAATCTAACATTCTACATGGCCGGCCCCTTGAAATGCAGTTGTCATTACATGCGGAGCCATGGCTCCAGAGTTTTACCTAAGCCTAAGATGTATCTCGTGAAACAGTCTTGTATATCTTTATAGCATGCAAATTGTTGCCCGTGCACCAGTTCAAGGAACGTTCGGAACAAGAATCTGTTGGTCGCTGGATTCGCACACCAACCTGGACCCCCCAATCTCCATCCGATTACCAAACATCTCCAATCATGGTGGCAGCATCAAAGAAACCCAATGAAACTACTGATCCCTATACTGTCTGGCTGTGAAGGGTTTCGCGGTCATGGCACCCGGACCCGGCTCATATTTGTGGTGGGTTGACCATGTCTACTAGTCTATTCTGTTCATTTTTGGTGGGAAAAGCCTGGGTGGCCTGGTGCCGTGACCCACAGCCAAAAACGCCTTCCCACTCTCTACTTTGCCGACGGCGGCCAGTGGCTCCTCTTCGGCTTGAGCCAAAGTGAAGGTCGGGTGCTGCTTGAGTAGATCTTGGATGCCTAGAGAGATGAGCTATCAATGTATCAAGTCAAGTGTCAGAGCTCTTACTGCAGTGAGAAGGCCATTGCCAACAAGCAATTCTGTGAAAACAAAAAGACACCACACACAATCACACGCACAAACCATCAACACAAGCTATGTCTGACGCTTGCAAATCGGCACTGAATTTGCATGGTCCGCACTCCACACCGAATTTGCGGAGAATTTGCTGCTTTCGGTATCCAGCTAACACATCTACTTTGCGGAGCTTCCCAAGCTGGTATTGGTGGGCATAGCAGTACACACAGCACAGTGAGCACCTGGGTCCTCGGTGCACCAAATCTTATCACTTCCCAATACTTCCCAAGCAACTTTGCTGAGCATACACTTCTCTGTCCTGTCCGTCATCTGTGGGCAAAATCCGTACTGGATCGTTGAGTTCCACACCGGCACCGGTCCCAACACCATCATCATGGCAGCCCCGACCGCCGCCCTCCACGCGCGCGACCCGTGCGACGTGTGTCGCTCGTAGTAGAGTGGCAAAAGTGGAGCATGTGGAACTTCGGGAAGGGCGCTCGTTCTGGGTCCGAGCGGGTCTCCACCTCAGAGGCTGTGAGAGTGGCAAAGCTGCTGAGCAAATCGATCCAGGTGAATTATCGACTTTCGCTTCTCTGCACGAATGGGAGGGGAAGATTGAGTCTGAGCTGTCAAGACAGTTAGGACATTGGTGAGGTGTCAAAATGACACCTTGATGCTTCAAAGCTTTTGAGGTATAATATTCCTATAGAACGGTACATGACAATCCAGTGGACTGTCCCGCCTGGTGGGCACAAATTACAGTATGTTCCTTTTTCAAGTATCGCCAAACTGGGGGAGTTCCAACATCAATCTCTGAGGTGTGTGAGTATTTTCCATGCGCCTGGAAGAACATCTGGATCCTGGATGTTCTGCTACAATTCTTGCACGGCCCGTACAAAATCTCACGAAACGACGTCGGATCGTCCCCCTGCAAACCAAGTTGGACTTGGTTGGGCCATACCATAAATGTTCCCTCAAAAAACAAACTCTTAACCAGGTTCTTTAGGTGCTTGGAAACCTCCAATGTTATTGAATGTTCAACAACGCGGAATCTGAGAAGCTCGCAGAATTCCAACCAACCTGGTCCAAATCACCAGTTCACTCCACTAAGTCCCCACCCATTAAAGCGTTCTTTTGGACTGCAGGAACATGCGGAAAATGTTGGTTCCAAAGGCCTATAGTATAGCCTCTTAATTAGAAGTCCAGTGTCTTGTTTTAATCTTTCTCCAACTCCAAGTCCCAACTGTTTCACGTGTGGAAAATGCACATCCATCCCCCACAAAGAGCGCATCCATCACGATCTTTGGGGGAGGAAGAACCCCGCATCCGCGAAAGCGGCGGATGCAGCCACGAGCCTCGCCCCCTGTCCATCTCCACTTCACTCGGCTCCGAGAGGCCAAGTGGGTGAGACTTTGCACATCCACCCGCCGACGATTTGCTTCCCCGCCCGGCGCTTGACCTGGGAGGCGGGGGGGATTCCCCCCACGCGGGAGCGCCAAAACAGGCTTTCAGGGTCAGTTTGGACCGGAAAATCCGACGAAAAAACCAAGAACCCACTGCTTTGCTTAGTACTTAAACTGTTTGCTATAAAGTTACCTGTTCATGGTCAACCATCATTATGTAAAACCGACCATGTTGGAGCGCCTGGGTTTGACCAACAACTGGGGACCAGGACATCCTTCCTTGGTGCCATTCGACCACTTAAAAAACCAGGTTTTGGGAATGTCTGGGCAACATTGGGGGTGGGAGATGCCTAAATTGATGGATTTCTAAGCTTCGCAAGGGATTTATGAAGTCTAAAACTCAATGGGCGGGTGGGTGGGTGACCCGCATATAATTTCGAGCCTCTTTTGGACTGAGAAAACATCACATCCTTAAGAACTGTCATCTCTGTTCCCTGTTCCCTGACAGCTCTGAACGGTTTTTCTTGCCCTTTCTGATACGGCCAAATGTTGGCAGCAACAACGTGCTTAATTACACATATCAGCCGATTTATTCAGATTGTTGAAAGGACACAAATTAAGCACAACATACAATAATAGCATATAAATGCATACATAATAGGGTTTACCAACACCATTAAGCTACGTGCTGGTCTGTCCAACATGTCCCCTAGTAGCTCCGAGATGATCATCCCAATGGCCATAGTTGATGTAGTTGAAAAGCACTTCGATGATCTGCAGCAAACTCCTCGCCGGCTTGGGCATCTCTCGCCGTCACACGGACGATTTCCCATCATGGATACTGGATGTTGGTCGATGTTGGTCGATTCTGTGGTTTGACACAAAAACAAAAGCTGCACAAGGTGCCCCTTGGGGTCTCCCAGTATGCCCGAGGTGAAGATGACGGGACCTGCATGGTACCTGCCTACCTTTTTGAGAAGCCCTCTAGCAAGGACTCTGCAGTTGCCTACCATTCGACCATCTATTTCAGTTGCTTTGCATGGTTCAACAGAATGGCGGCTGGAATCCTACACGCCTGGCCTGCTTGGATTCATTTGACCTACTGCGAAACCGCCTGCACGCGGTCATGGAAAAAGAATCCCACCGGGTGGGGGCTCCCAGGACCTCCGAAACGGAGGTCGTTTGATCCTTCGTTCCCGGAACCCCGACCCCGGAGGTCGTTGACCGGATTCTTCACAGGATCAACCAGTTCCATCCGGTTCCAAGACGTGTGGAGGTGAACCATCAATCCATATATCGATCCCGGTTTGGGTGGGTATATACCTAGTCAGATGTCCTGCAAGAATTGGCTGAGTGTCACAGATCTGCAACTTCGAAAATTCCTAGACTATGATTAATCTACATCCTTTTCCTCCCATAGACTGCACAATTCAAACGGCACCTTTCCTGGATCCTTTCATGACACCTAAGAGAGGCACAATTCAGAGAGGCGCCTTGCACGCTATTCTCACCTCTTCAATCCTCACCCACGTCGACGCTCGTCGTGGTCCTTAAAACCTCAGAGCTGCGCACGTCGTTGCAGGCGCTCTGCACCAGAGTCATCTGTTGCATGGCGTCCGTCAAGCGCTTGTCCAAGGTCTTAAAGAGCCACAGCCTCCGGTTCAGCGGACGTCGTCGCCCCGAAGCGGATGCCGCGGTTCACAGGGATGTTCCGTGGAGCTCGGTGACGGTGAGCCCAAAGAACCCACGAAAACCCCAACCACCACGGGCGCTGTTTGGGGGGTTTCGTGGAAAGGGGCGGAGATGGACCTGGAGAGTGCCAAAAGCCTGGGACAGAAGCTGAAGGCTCAAAGACGTTCCCGGGTCCGACGGTGCATGGCTTAAGGACCAATGGCACCCCGGAGTTCCAGCTCACCAGCTTAGGGGTCTCCGGTCCACCAGGAGGTGTCCTGGCTGGGTGGCTGGACTACCCAGCCCACTACTTAGATCTACTTTGGGATCTCCAGCCAGGACACCCAGACAGGATGGTCCTGGTAGGTGGTTACTGGATATGGCACGGAGTGATGGGCGCTGCATGGCCAATTTGTGGCAACTTGATGAGTCCATGATGAGGTGGCATCATCAGGTGATTGACATGGGGATCCACAGTCAACCTTCACTTCCGAGAACAAGCCAATTTATCAATTCAACAAATCGATCAGATCTGAAACATCACCTGCATCAAATACACCTAACATCACCAACAAACGTCAACGAAACAACTTGAAACACTTGTATCTCCCATCCCATCCCGGCTCTCCAGTCCCTCGAGCTGGGCGTCCGCGCAGCCGCAAGCGCTCGCGGAGCCGTGTGAGCTTCGCCAAGGGCAGCAGCTCGCGCTCGATGTCCCGTAGCCTGAGGAGCTCGAGCTCGGTGTGAGATGTTTGGATCGAAAAGGACCTGGAGATGTGGTGGATTGTGATGCTGTGGTGGGGAAGAAAAGACACTTCGGACTGAGAAATGAGGAACAACAAGAAATGGACAATCCAGATTTGATTTTTACAACATGGAACCTATAGATCTAAACAGGCACATTTGAAGATCACTGTTATCTAGAACCAAAGGTCCCATGTTAGGTTCTACATCTTTGCAGGGAGCATCCGTTCATTGTCGTTCATTCATTCTCATACACTGATACACCCAAGTGGTACATATATATATATATATATATTAACTTTGTATGTCCATGAGTCAATGACCATCTCAACGATGTGTAAACACAATTTGCTGGTTCAAGTATTATGTGAGGCTGAGCACATCGAGGTCAACTCTTCGTACAGGGGTAAGGTTGATATCCTACAAAAGTGAAGATCTGAAAAAGGCTCACAAGGCCGAAGATGCTTTGGGAACAATACAGGTTCCCACAATCTATATCTATCTTCTGTTGAATTAAACAACAAACACACGCCCACCCCGAAAGGCACAACACCTGTCTCCTATTCTCCTCCCTCCATCCTCTGCCTTCAGTCACATCCAAACCGCCAAAGCACTTGGAGATGTCCTGCGAATACTCCTTCAACGGCCGCAAGAGCTCAGGCGCCGGGAGCACTTGGATGAATCGCTCGCACCTCAGCAGCCAAGCGGCCAAGGTCTTCTTCCTTCCTCTTGCTTAGAGGTTTTGTTTGTTTTGGTTCATAACTTAACACTTCATGCACATCTTTTCTTACTAAAACAAAACCTCTCCCACACACTCCATCAAACCATATCAAAACTGGTTATGTTAAGTTATAGTACCTACCTTCATCCCTTTCTTCAAAAACAATCAGCACGGTCTCGCGACGTTCGCCTCAGGGGTCGTCGGCAGACCGTCGGCCCAGGCGCTCTTCGGCCGGCAACACACAGTCGCCCGGGTGGAGCTGATCCAAGGAGGTGGCCAGTCCTGATCCATGACATGACGCTGCCATGTCTAAGAGGAACAGGAACAGTGGAGAATAATATATAATCAACACTCCCTGAGACAATCATGGAAGTGGAACATAGGCCATAGGCCCCAAGACTATAGTCTCCTCTACAAGGGGGTTCTGCTCAGCTTCCATGATTGTCTCAGGGAATGTAATTAGAGGGAGTTCGACCAACTCCTCCCACGGCAATGGCCTACTATATTTATTCTATGTCTAATTCCACATTACTTTATTCGCAAGGGAGTTCGAGAGCTCTTCCCAACTCTTCCTATTGACAGGTCGGAACCCACCTGGGGCAAGCTCCTCAAAAGGATCCCCGTGGATCGCTACAGAGAAGACCTCACAAGCAAAGCCCTCGCCTGAGATGAAGTTATTCTCGTAGTGACACTGACACAGGGTCCATGAATGTGATTGTCTGGGAGCCCGTGGTTCGCTTGCGGACCAACTTGGGCCTTTGGAATGCAGGTCAATTTTCTACTTTCAGAACCCACATGAATGAACCAACTGAGGGCCAGAAAGTCATGGACATGGACATATTCTCTCTCTCTCTCTCTCCAGGGGCAAAGGAAAATTTTCAAAAAACCGCTGCTGAACCGATGCTTCCAACGATCCTTCAGTGTCCAAGTCCATGTCGCGGCGAAGCTTCTTCAGGACCTCGGCGCGGATAAGACGGTCAATTGGACATGTTGCGCTCATGGACCCTTATATGGAGGGGTCGGTCTCAAATCCCTAGGCTTTGAGAGACCAAGTCGGACCTAGGGATGTTTGGAGCGTCTGGGCAGTTGCCTAGCAAGGAATGGTAGGTGTGCGTGCATGTGTGCCTGGAAGACCAATATGGATTATCTTGCACGATATACCTATATATGTACTCGGGGAGCCAAACAAAAACGGGGTTGAGGAACAGGTTGAAACCCTGTAAATGAAGGAACAATTAATGAGAGACGACATCAAATGCCTCCATCCTCAACAATGCTGCTTGTCATTTATCTTGACACATCAAGACAGCTGAACTTGAAGGGATTAATTACCAGCTGCAGCGATCGTTTCCGAGTAGACTCTCTGAAATCGTCACGAAAGTGGAGTTCATCACCTGTTTATTTATTCGGAAATTCGTCCTCCAGTAGTGGCTCGCGGAGTTTTACCCTGCGAAAGGTGGCCCAGCTTTCGGAACTCTTCACTTCAAAAACAAAACATGTCAAAACATAACAAAACCAAACGATCTGTATTATACTGTTTATTTGATATACAAAAAAAACAATTCATGCCATTCCAGCCACGCCGAATCTAAGTCTATAATTCATTAATATAGGGTATACTGATACTCATGTTCGTCTCTTGGCTGCCCACCTTTTCCCAACTCCTCAAAACCCTTCGATCCATGGCGGGCCCAAACCAACCTCTTTGCGACTGCTCCGCAGACGGCCGCCGCAAACGTCCGCCCGTCCCGTCCGCCACGTCCCAGAGGCGATGGCCACGTTCTGCGCCTCGCGGCGCGGCAGCAGTTCCAGGCCCAGCTCCGCCGGAAGGCGCGGAGTCCTCGGCGCGGAGTCCCGGAGAGAGTCTCGGAAAGCTCGGTCAGAATGTCTTGGGATGAAGTTACGTAACTGACAGCTAGTAGCAGCTAGTACACTCCCTGAAATAAATCATGGTGGAAGTGGATGGCATGGCTGACATTGGATGACCATTTTCCATCCACTGTTAGTTAGTGACCCGGAGTGTAGATGCAGAAGAGTCTGGATGTGTTTCTGTGTTTGGGGGGCTGTGGATGATGAAAGCCTTACGCCGGTTGCACCACAAACGCAAGGGTCAACAGCGAGAAGTTTTGCAATGAGAGATTCCGAATTGGTGCCAATGCACACCCAAGTACCCTGATGATCGCATTCATACATAAAACAGATTAACAGGTGTTGATCGTTTCTAGGTCAATAGCAAAGACCACATCTGGGGATGAAACTCTTTTACAATCCTAAAGACTTCATGGGACTGGCATATTTGCCTGTCTAAGAACATAGGATGCTTATTAAGCATGATACACTCAATCAAGGACCATTCTACCTCCATGACTAATTCAATACTCTTCCGTAAGTTTTTTCACGTTCACGTCTTCTCCGCCCCTTGGCACCCCAAGTCTGCTGAGATTCTGCTTGGATGAGGAGGACCGGCTGCTGGTCCCGAAGGCATTCCGCAGCGCCTTGAAGGCACAAACAGGCACAGAGTTTTCAAAAAGGGTGCGTAACATTGCAAATCTTGAATCGTCCATATGAGCGACGTGCAAAACCTTGTATGTGTTGTATGCGCACTCTTCCCAACGTATGCTTCTTTGATTGTTTTCTGTGATACTTATCGTTCCTGAGGGTTTGGACACACCTAACAACATGTACTCAAACCTTATCGTCGTAATTTTTTGTGAAGCTTAGCGTTCCTGAAGGTTTTCTTCACATTACTTACTTAGTCTGCACTGTAGTGATGCTGCCTTCATCGGACGTTTTGGCAGTTGCTCATATGGAATTAGAACTGACACTATAGATTTGGGGTTGAGTGAGAGTATAAATTATACATTTACCATGGTATACCATGGTTCTATGTACGTCATGAAGTTCTCTGTCTTGGGAAACAGTCAGACTTCTTCGCTCGTTTAGACGCGGAGCTTGGTGTGCAAGTCGGGAGCTTGGTGTGCAAGGTTCAGGCCTGGTTCTAAAACTACCCTGGGACTGGGTGTTTGACCTCAGTCCCATACCTAAATCGTGTGCAGCACAAACTAAAAATGCCAATCACAACACCGTTGCACCCCATTCATCCACCACGACTCTGACCAGCTGACCCAGTCGGATTACCCAGAAATATACACCCTGCAAAAAAACAGGATCGGTGTATATCCAAATATATATATATATATACAAAACGCGAACTCATACTCCAAACAGATCCACCGTTTGGTACTCATCAGGCAGGGGCCCAGCATTGCAACATTAAAACAAGACCCTCCCGAAGCCACGCGCGGTGCTCCCGTTCGCAGAACCCACGCTGCTCGACCGCAAAGCTCACGCCTCCAAATCTACCTCCACCGGACAGGGCTCCTCTCGGGTCTCCTCTGCTGCCTCCATGGCCTGAGAAGCGGCAATGAACTGCCGCCCCGTCCGCAGGAAGTGGTCGGTCGAAACCCGTGGTGAAAGTCATGGAAGTTCTAAGGGTATACAACATATACTTATGAGAGGAATTGACAGGAAGTATTCGGAAGTGGTCGGAGTACTCTGTGAGTCTATGAGTATTAAACCACTTTAACACATGGTCTAATCAGGTGACCCGAGTCCAGGATTTTCCTGTTCTACAAGTCCTCATCACACTTTTAGGGCCTGGGAAGCCTGGGAAGCCAGGCCTTTGCCTTGCAATGTCTGCTTTTGCAGGCGTGGAGGTTCCATCCCAGATCTGATCCATGGAGCTGGAAGATGTTCTATGATTTACTTTGAAAGGGGGTCCATGTACGATACTCCTGGATCTTCCAACGGTCAAAATCAGCCGACAAAGGACGAAAAGGCTGCACGTCTGCATGTCGTTGGGGATCCAGCTCCGGGTTGCCCTCAAATGTGGATATATGATATACACTGCATCGTCCATCCAAAGACTCTCGTGGTCAAGGGCCCTTCATGCTGCATTCCATGAAACAAAAGTCTGGCAAAAACAATGGGAGACCGAACATAAGTGGACAAAAATGAAATCATTCTAGACGAGCAGGAGTCTCCAAAAGACTTAGCTGACAGCTATGTTTGAGACTTGAATGCCATGGCGGTGGGTCAAAACAATCGCACCTTGCGCAGATTTCAAACATGCTGACACTGATGCTTCAAAAGGTGTGGTGAAGTGGGACTGGCTAACTCTGTATTCATGCTAGATACTTAACTGAACAATCTTAAGATATATACGTGCAATTACATGCAGGTAGTGTACACACCACATCCCGAACCACCTCAGCTCTCAAGGAACAATAACACCTTGGCTTCGTCAAATACTTGATCTCGTTTAAACATAGACGCATGGGATACTTGAGCATCCACCATGACCGCATACACTCTGGTACCTAAGGTAGAGTTGTATAACTAAATCTGAAATCATGTTTAAGCTCCATCCAAATGATCTAATTACTGTATCTCCAAGTGAACCCGTCAAATCCATATACAAATCCTCTGCTACCAGCTGACCTATCCCGTTTCCATCCCCGATCCGCAAGGCAGTCCCAGCCACAGCTTCCGCAGGTGTGAGCATCCGGACCTGTTGAATGAGCCAATGATTTCGTTCACTTTCGTGGTGGACACTCCAAGGTCACTGCAGTGGTCACTTGGCTGCTGGTAGGTATGAGGTGTGAAACAATTGAATGCAAGAAAAAACACTGCACTCTTCCAAACTTCTGTGAATTGGTCTACTCTATTCTACCAATCTGAACATCCCCCAAAAAATAATCTTAACAAACTCTGCCGCTTTGGACGCACGCGAGAAATGCTGCACGTCTGGGGCTCCCAGCCGAAAGCCTTCGGCCCAGCGGCAAGACGGAGGCCTGTGAAGCGCCATGATTTCACGTGGCCGCGGGAAGATTTGCTAATCATATCGGATCTGATTGAAGAAGGCTCGGGCGGCTCAAGTCATGTTTAAAACCCAAACAAATTTATCTTATCAAAGGAAGTTTAGTGTACGAAACTTGAGTGTTACGGACATTCAAGAACTGTTCATACACCACTCATCATACACCACTCATTATACCCCACTCATCATACACCACAGGACTCATCATACACCACTCATTATACCCAACTCATCATCATACACCACTCATCATACACCACACCACTCATCATACACCACTCATTATACCCCACTCATCATACACCACTGGTCATACACCACTCATCATACACCACTCATCATCCAGTTAGCTGTAGTTTCAAGAGCTCTAGCTCCAGTTAGCTCTATTTGCAAGAGCTAGAGCTCCAGGTAGCTCTAGTTTCAATGGCTCTAGCTCCAGGTAGCTTTAGTTTCAAGAGCTCTAGCTCCAGTCAGCTCTAGTTTCAATGGCTCTAGCTCCAGTTTACGTGGCAGGCGCAGCACTTTGTGAACCTCCATGTGCAGATTTCGTGGCAGGTGCAGCACGTTGTGAACCTCCATGTGCCAATTTCGTGGCAGGCACAGCACTTTGTGAACCTCCATGTGTAGAATTCGTGGCAGGCACAGCACTTTGTGAACCTCCATGTGCAGAATTCGTGGCAGGCACAGCACTTTGTGAACCTCCATGTGTAGAATTCGTGGCAGGCACAGCACTTTGTGAACCTCCATGTGCAGATTTCGTGGCTGGGGAGCTGGAAGATGAGAACTGGCGACTTTGTAGTACAACTTTAGTGCGCGGAGCAATCTGAGAACTGGCGACTTTGTAGTACAACTTTAGTACGCGGAGCAAGCCGTGGAGCTGGAAGCTGAGAACTGGCGACTTTGTAGTGCAACTTTAGTACGCGGCTGAGTCATCTCTATTTTCTGTATTTTGCAAAAATGCATGAACAACGTTTTTCCTGCGAGACAGTTGACGGTGGTTGCTTCGCTTTCGCTCCATTGGTCGGTTCCAACTTGTTTTGTCAAAGAACATCGCAGCTCGGCGAATCAGCCTGCCACATGCCCATTTCCTATAGGTTTATTCTTTTGGAAACTTCCGCCGCCGGCTTGCCCGGGAACTACTTGTATGATCCCATGGGACTGGAATATGGAATAGATCAGTTGGGGTTATGCAGGAGAAACTGCTGCTGTTTGAAAGGTTTCAGCTGAATATCTGGCTAGGACGCTCCCAACACGAAGCTTGAGGATTGCCAACAACAACCAGGGAAGCTTCTGGTGGGGCTGTGAACGAAAGTGGCCTATCAGTGAGGGAGGAACAACTTGTCAAAAGTTGCACGACCCTGGCCTATGAAAGAACACCTTCCCTTCCAACAAATTCAATTCAGCTGGCCGCTTGCTGAAGACTGCTTGTACCACGTTACAAGCCACAAAATCAACATCATTTCGATCTGTGCTGTGTCCGTGGCTCCCCGTGAGGACATTGACCGCTGGACCATCGATGTCTGAATCAAAAAAACCTCTCCTGACATCGATCCATGCGTTCATGAACCCAACGCCCCCATGCCTTACACTCAGTTCTGGTCCCTTCTACATGGTCCCAGATACACTACCTGAAATACATGGAAGTGGAAAACCAGCTGTTTTTAGGAGAAACACGGCCAATCAAGGGGCCTCCCTAGTCTCACAGCTGCTGGAATGGGCCTTCTTCGGCGCGGCTTTCCCAAGCAATGGCACTGGCGGGCCTTTTCCTGCGCCGACCGCATTCTGCCGAAACAAAGGTCGGTGACCATCTCAGCCAATTTCTTCGGTCGAAACTACCGGCCGGCTTCCGCAGCATAGATCAATCTGATCCAACCACGACAGATTTGAAGATGTCCAACCTCTCCCCATCCACCCTCCGCTCCTGGTCCTTTGCCCTTCGGCCCACCCTTGCCCTTGCTCTTGCCCTTGGGACCCTTTCCAGGGCCCTTGACGCCCTTCTTGGGCACCGCCGGTGCGGGCGACCCGCCCGGTGCCGGCTCGGCCAGCGCGGCCGGCGCGGCGGCCTCCGGTGGGGCCGCCTCCGGTGGCGCAATGACGGATCCAAAGCAAATAGATTTCCTCATTTTGCTCATGACCTGCAAAGGGTTATTTAGAACCGTTAGAAGTACAATAATTCTACCGAAAACTACACAAATGTTGTATGCACAAATGATTTGCTCAAAGCAGCTCAAAACAATATGTGTTCAACATATATGCCCGTTTATGTCCTTTTTGTCTTAAGATAGGCCTTGCACTTCTAATCTAATTACATCCCTTGTCTCAAACCATAGGCTGCCGTAGGCGACGGACAAGTTCGGGACCTACCTCAACACAGGTAAAACAGTCAAGCAACACCAGCTTCAGTTTCTGGGTCAGAATGTAGCTGGAACATCCAAGATCATCAAGTTCAACAGCAACAAAGCCACAGCCACGGGTTTGCTGGCTTGGCGAAAGTTGGGAGGCTGAGAACGAATTCGCTAAGCCTGGTCACCTTTGCTGTGAACTTAGCTCGCTTGCCTGGCTTAGCTCGTTTGGGCTGCCTTGTTCCCTGGATCTTGGAATGCTTTTGTGCTCAAATGATCCTCTCTGCTGTTGTCCAACGTTCCCATTCTACTCTGTTGGACATCCAGCCCCTGCCGCCCCACGGCCCACCCGAGCGCGCAGGGATGGGTGCACCTCCGGAGGTTCTGCAATGGCCCGCATCCATTCCTCGATGGCATCTGCCCCCGACGGGAGCATGCAAATCCAGGCCAAATAAAACGAGGGTGGGGACAATATTGTGATCGCATGTGCAAACAAACAAATAGATGCCATTCGTCGAGCATGGATTGAGGGAAGCTTGAGGGAGGAACAAGATGTCTAACATTCAACAGATTCATAATGATTCACGCAACACCCGACGGCATCAAACCATAATTGACAACTTGAGCTTCCCCACTGCAATGTGGCATGAACATGCGCTCCAAAAGACGCTCTGAAAGGAAACACCGCCTTGTTGCAGGCTATTGCAGCGTTCATGCCTTGAGTCGACGTTTGGGATGGAGGCTACGGAGGTGCGAGTCATCTCCCTGCACCCCTTTGAGTCCACGCCTCCCGGTCCACCCGTTTTCCACGAGTCGTGCCTCACGCAGCTCGGGGGTTTCGGCCGCGAAGCGCAAGGTCTTGTCGCCTCGGACGGACGACAGCGACGGGTCGGGAGTTGTTTCGGTTCGGAGCGCAGGGATGGGTGTTTGGTGCATCTTTCCGCTCCAAAATGAATCAAGTGTAGCTGAGAATGACAAGGTGAAGCAAAGAGCTTGTCCATCCGACTATCTCATGCTTTGGGGGAATGCCTTTATTAAATTATGATTAAGCCATCCCTCACCCGCTGAAAGAGCACTCATCCGCGTGCGTGACAAGCCTATAGGCCCTGGCACAAGCTTTGCTCAGTTGTGCCGAGAGGCGTGTGACCACCATGAAGCCGTACTTCAGTGGAGCTGCGAGATAGAAATCAGCGGCTTCCACCTGAAAGACAGTCAAACAGCCGCCCAGTGGACTCCATTTATCACATGCGTCACGATACGCCCAGTCTACTTCATCAACTATACTGCCCTACGTTGGAGTGGTTGACCCGGCGGTTCAAGGTTCAATGTAGTTTTTTCTAGATTCACTGGAGGGTCCTACTCGGTTGGGGGACCACTCTTGGAGCAACATGATATAAACTGTCTTAGGACTTCCATAATTCTTCAACCGCCTTCAACCCGTATGCCGTGTGATCTTTCCAAGGCACTTCCACACCTTGCAGCTCCACCTCATTGGTGAGGACATCCTCCTGATCAACACAAACACCCCACGCGAACACCAACGCCCGCGCGAGTCGCGAGTCGCGCGCACACTTTCTGAGTCCTGGTGCAGTAAGGCTTAAAGATACCTTGTGGAGTTGTCATCCAACAGATGATCACATTTTCATAACACATGGAGCGTGGTGACGAACCAGTGTTTACAGGCAGTCTTTGGGCTTAGAATGGTTTAGGTGGTGTTTAGGTGTGTGTGTGTGTTTAAGTTTAGGTGATTCAGTGCTTCTAAGTGTTCCATACTGCTGAGGTGACAAAACAAACAAGCTCTTGATGGAAGTTTGGGTGCTCTTGGCAGCCAGCGTTTCAGACCACTTCCGCAGCCCTCCTCTTGATTTGTTCAAGCAAGCATCCCTTCTCAAAGTCCAGCAGGGGCCCAACAATCCATCAAGAACAAGAACTTCAACAACAGCAACGAACCCTTTTTCTCCCTCCGCGCGTCCTGAGTTTTTCGCGCATCCCATTCCAAGCATGTCACTGACACGGCTGTCTCCGCAGTCCGGGACGGACGATGACGGACCGGATGCCGTTCCCACGTGCCGTTCCGGTCTCGTCCTTCTCCGTGGTGAAGGTGCAAAGCTTGGAGCCGGTGAGGCTCACGTAACCTGAGCACCGAACCCAAACGGAGGCGGAGACCGCCGGCGGTCCGGTGCTGAGTCGTGGCACGAGTCGATGGTCCTATGACAGTGGTCCACTAAGTAGATAAGTAAGCAGGATCCGTTAGGTACAATTCTGGCCATGTAGTCTGAGTTTCTGATCTTGGAGGAGTATTTATTCAAAAGCTCAACTTCCTGCCAGTCCGTCTGATGGTCTGTCAGGCCATGCCCCCTACACGACCAAAAGCGTACGGGCCAGAAGATGGGGAGTAGCTGATCCACATTTTGGTTGGGATCCTTTTGGCATCAACACTAGTGGAGACACCTACTAGTTGATCCAATGAGATCAGTGACAACAGATCCATCTAAATAATGCACGATTCAAATCTGTGCGTTTCACAGTGACCAATGCAACTCCAACACACTTGTCCTCCCCACGCGTCCTCCACACCGCACGTCGAGACGACGTGCGCGACAAACGCCAGCGAGATACGCCAGCGCCACTGAAGGAGCTGCTGACTGCGTTTCATGAGCCAGCCTTTCATCACACCTGCACGACCCGCGGTGCGATCCGTCACGCCACACGCATCAGGAGATCGCCACACGTCTCGATCGCAAAGAAGGCAGGACCTCCCCTCTGAAGGTGTCGGTTGGAATATCTTTAATTACGACGTACATTGATATAGTATCATGATTCATGATAGTATTATGTTTGTTTGTTTCCTGAAGTGGATGAGGTGTCGATTGGACACCCCTTGATGCGTTCCCAATGATGGCTGGAGAATTGTACCCTTGACATCCCTGTATCTGACACCACCACCAACTCTGATGTCGTCCAAAACCCTCCTGATATAGAGACCGGAGCTAGTTTATATCATCTCTACAGGAAGCACCAGCACTAAACACCGTTCAGCCCAAGGCCCCAGGACCAAACATGTCCCTTGTGTCCCTTCCCTTCCAAGACAATTTTAAGTGGATTGAGTGGGGGGTTTGGCAAACGCTATTAAATCAATGGTGGTTGGAAGCCTAGGACATAATACCAGTCTGCACCCATAGTCCTCACCCTTGCCTCAACGCTGTCCCAACCAGGTGGACTCTCCGGTGACAATGCAAAACCTGATCTGTTATATCCAGGTTAATCGAAGCCCTCGCAGGTGTCTAGCTCAACAATGCTCACAACATAGGGAGACCTCCCAGGCAACGATCTCCCTGAGTCATCCAAGGAAAAATCATAGACCAGAGCAATCAGCCAGGATCAGGGGGGTGTCTCCCAGCCAATTACAGCACTCCACCTCCATCGGCCGCCATGGCTTCTTCGCTTCTCCCGGCCCAGCGCCGTGCTTCACGTCACGCCATGAGCGGCTTTGCGTCGCGAACACGCGCAGGAGGATCGGAAAATGTGCGGCAAAGGTGAGCGGTGGGGTGAGCTAGCTGGTGGGGGTGGGAGGGCCTGAGCTCACTGGGATGATATCTGGAGAGTTGTTGCTCAAGGTAGTTGAATCTACTCAGCTTGGGAGATTGACTGAGAACTCTAGACAGCTGCCAGCAATGAAGCTGGATGATGATCGCTTTATATCGCTTTGCTGAAGAACGGAAGGTATCCAGAAGTAGGTATTCAGAAGGGTCACTTTCTGGGAACCTTCCAAAAAAATCGACCATGCTGGACTTGAGTCTAAGCACATTCACATCACCATCTCTGCCAGGTTGCTCCATATTGCTAACTGGGGTACTGCAAACTTCCTAAGGATACATACAAATGATTTCGGTGCAGGACAGTCTGGCGAACAAAGAGTTTTCATGGCTTGGGGCTCAACGGGGTGGTGCTGGGCAGAACATGTTGGAGCACATCCATGGGCCGTCCCTTCTTTATCTTCATGACCATGGTCGGATTCGAGGCGAGTGGAGGGCGAGTTCCGGCACAGGATTTGTCTCTCCACGAGGCACCGAAGAAACTTGCTTGGCTGACTGATTTGCTTGAAAAAATGATGTGAGACCTACTAGGAACAAGGACTCTACGAACGGGGCTCCTGGCCTTACTACGAACGGAGCGATCGGACGCTACGAACGGAACTTGTTCGCTGAGGAGATTGACCCTCAGGCTGAGTCGATCCAAGCAGCTTGTGCCCTCAGACTTGGGTCGAGGGAAGCCCTTCAGTCGATGCTGTCCCAAAGGAATAGAACTGTTCGGGGGGCTCAACTCAGACCCACTGCTGAGCCGCTGAATCTAGAAACCCCTTCACCCAGAAAACCTCCAAGCGGTGATTCATTCTAACATGAATAGACCCCTTGGGTCACCCCCGCAGTACCGAAGCATCTGATGGATATCTCCTCGTCAGAAGGCTGAGATGTTCTTTGGACCAACATCCCAGTTCCGATCCTTCGATGTCCAGTTTCCATCAGTCCAACATGTCAATACTTCGCAGGCTTTTTGCTGAACAAGTGGTGGATTTCTATGCTGATGTCAGATGTCCTGAATCTTTGACCAAATGCAACTTCTTGCACAAATCCTCAGCACTTCACCATACTTCACCGGTGTTCCGAACCCGTCGCCCGGGCGAACGTCTTCCAAGGCCGGCACGGGGCGCGACGGGCCTGGAAATCAGGTGGATCTGCTGGTCACTGGGTCCCGGTTCACTGGAGGATGGTTAACTGTTATATAATGGTGAAGTAAAGACATGGAGGATAGGGAGAGGGCCATATATAAAATCAATTCTAACTATGCCTAAGAATCTGGGCTCAAATGAAAAAGGCTTTTAGTCAGCCCACTCTAACACTTCGCGATCAAAGTTGCATAAAGCATCATGACCCCAAACTGCCAAAACTGTGTATCGACTGCAAAAGACTTCCAAACGAGGGGTGCTGCCAAAACTATCGGTAGCTGCCAACAATCACAGAGTCACAGATCACGTGAAACCACTGAGATTGGTGGATATGAGCCGACGTGTTTCTTCGAAAAACGACTAAAGTGTATCGATGGACCTGTGGGCAACCCGCGATCTGCCTGACATCGTGGCTTCAGAACTCATACAGTGGTTTCAGAGTAGATTCGATGTCACAAACCCCTGTCCTTTAGATGGGGATCCATGTAAACCGCCATTTTGGGGATTGTGCCGTTCTACTCTCCATCCACTATAACACTATGTGGCTGTGGCTTATTTGGCTGAAAACAGTGTTGAATTGAAAGGACTACAGTCGCAGGATTCAAGAAACATCGTTGAGAGACTGCTCCAGCTCCGAGATGCTCCCCACTTGGGGACATGGGTCCATACCTGGAGCCCGACCAGTCCATGTAGCAAACGACCTCCGAGGTCAACCAGTTGGTCTCAAAGCCACATGGGATGGGTGCGCCGAGCCGACCCTGGGATGCATGGGCCCATGTGGCCGCTCCAGCCGCTCGACGCGAAGCCTCCGGCGTCGATCTCGTCTGAAAAAGCGTTAAGCCTCATACCCCAGACACGACACATGGGACTGCCATAGGACTGCTGGTTGAAACGGGGTCAACGTAGGCATATATCGCAGTCCCATTTTCCCGCACATATCTCTAGTCCACTGTCCACTGAGGAACTCACCCCCCAAAAAAGTCTCCAGTCCCACTTGAAGAGTTCTGAAGTGGGTGCCTCAGAGTTTGACGACACGATTCTGAAGTGGGGAACCGGACTCCACAGGTCAATCATGTGCGAAAAAATGAAGAGATGGGAAGCTAAAGATCTGTAAGCATCTTCTTTCCTATCATGTTCAGCATGTTCTTCCCACATCTTATATCCAACATCTGTAAATAGAAACATCTGTGGTTTTGGAAACTCCCCAGTCGAATCCGCTGATTTGCCAACCTGGCAGATCTCACGGGCGGCCGCCTGGCAGATTACCAGGTTGTTGCAAGGCAAAGAATGGGTAATATAGAGTGTCAATAATGATAATTAATATAGACAGACTCTCGATTAACACATCCCCCTATATGAAGAGGATGTTTCAATCTGAATGGGAGGGGTCATCAATGAATCAAGAGTCTACAGTCTACATTGTATACTGTAGTGAAAAATACATTTGGATTGAACGACCTCTTCATGTGGAGCCTCTTATTCATCAGTGGACATTAAGTGAGCCGCTACTCTACGCTTAGACACTACGAGATACTTCAAGGATTGGCAAACACTCGGCAAGCCACGCTGAAAAAACAGGTTCTGGTGGAACTTGTTTCAAATATATAAAGGCGTGCCAAACCAGTCCTCAATCACCCGTGGTCCAAAAAGCCTAGTGCGGTATGGTCCAATGGTCCTCATTCGGAAATGTTCTTTTGTTTTTGTTCGGGTCGATGAAACCACCATTCAGGACCAGTCGAAGGATCAGTTCATGGGCGGATCAGACTTGGTCGCTCCCATTTTTGCAAAGAACAAACTACTCCGATCAATTGAAAGTGCCAAGCAATCTGCTTGGGTCAGTGTATTCTCAAGGCTTATTGGGTAGAGCCATTCTGTCCAAGTCTTGTTCAACTACTCTGAACACCCCTTCAAGATTGCGAAGAAGACAATGTCTTCCCAACCTCGGACGTGAAGGCAACTTGAAGTGTTCTTTTCGCTTGGCGAGTCAACACTCCAACATCGTGCAAAGTCATGCAGTGACAAACACCTTCAACATGTATTGCTTGCACAATGTTTGTGCATCAAAGCTTTTGTGAAAGACGCCTTTTTGGTCGCTTTTGCCGCATGTCCTCTGCTCGGTTCAGCTGGAGGTGTTTTTTTTCACATTAAGTCACAAGTGTGCCGCCTCCAAACAAGCCAAGCTGGATGCATCATCAAAAACTTGGCCATTGCCCAAGCAATGATGCACAAAGGTCAAAGGCTTTTAGTGTGCCTCAGAACACCCAATGCAAATTCCAATCGAATCGCACAGGGTGTCCTAAGCTGGGGTACCGAAAGGAGCTAACGCTGGAAATGGTGCAAGAGTAGTTGTGGTGATAAGAGTGGTGATAGTAGCAGAGTTAGATACATACTTCTTAAAGAAACAATAGCCAATCACGGAAAGCACGAATGAAATCGAAAAACCAAGTTGCCTCTGCTGCCTCCTTTTCTTTTGGTATGTTTTTCTAAAATTGTCTTTTTCGCTCCGAGAAGAGGAACCCTTTTTGATATGTCCGTCTTTGATTGCAAAATAACTTTGCTGCACTCGGTCTGCAAGAGCATCAAGATCGCTTCCTGACAGCTCGCCCCCTGTGGCTTTGAACAGTTCATTGTCGACCTGAAGCAAAAACATGAGACCAGTGCAATTCAAGATGAGCTCAGTCTTTCTATCAGCATCCAGGAAGACAAACGGAGCCAGAACAGTAAAGCCAAGCGCGAAAAGAGCCTTCGGCAAAATTGCGAAGATCAATGCCCAAACGAAGCATGAAGGCTTGCTCCAGCCTGCTGAGGCTATTTCCCACAAGTGAAAGACTTCCTTCCACTCGCTTGTTGCATGAGCAACAAAGGCCAAGCACGCACAAGCGGAGGCAACCGTGAACATCGTCGTCTCTCTCTCCGGGCCGGGGTCGTTGAACACATGCCCTCGTAAGAGTGCAACCAGCAAAGCAACCTGAATGAACAGGCAACCCACAAGTTGCCCCAAGGTGATGAACAAATCATAATACACTGGCGGCTGCTCTGGGTCCCTCTCAAGCTCTAGGTCCCTTTCATCACTCCTCTCCTCGCTATCTGCGTAAAGAGCCTCTGCAGCACAGCGATGCAAGTGAAGTGAGGGTCATATTCATAGGCAGACTGGTAGTGGCTTTTGATGCATGTCTTGAGCTCTCCGACCCTCTGTGCGGTCTTCTCCACTGCGTTGTGATGGTATGCATTGAGCGGTGATGTTTCCGAATCTGAAAACCATTGCATCATGCTGGATCCAATTAGCTTCTGCAAAAAGGTCCACGCCCATGAGCCCAAAACGGCTGGACAAGCAACAACCAAAGGATACCAAATGCGAAAGACATCATTACCGTACCCTCCCTGCAACAAACATGGAGTGGACAATGGCCCCTGGAAAAATAAACCTTTTCCTCTGCAAACAGGGGGTTGTCGGGTTGTCCCTAGAAATTTCTGTTGCAGGCAGGTTGAATGATTTGGCCGTGACCCAATGCCGCCGTTGTCAATGCAATGGAAGCAGCACGAAGCAAGCATAGTCACTGCAGTCATACATTGATTTACATGTCAGTGGATGGTCAAACAGTCATCCATGTTTGTAATTATACATATAGTAAACAATGATTGACCGTGATGCAATGATTCCGTGTGTGTTTTTACATCTTCAGGCTTGAAACCAACAAAAAAGTCCAAGCGTAAATTGATGAATTGGTCGCATCACATCACCATATCTGAGCTCCCGGCCAAAATCAAAGAGGTAGATGAGCCAGTCCACAGGGCCAATTGAAACAAGGGAGCCAGCCACCCCACACACAAAATCAATCCAGCCAACACAACTGACAGGTGCTTGGTATGGAAAGAGGGAATGGATTCCTCTGAATCTCTATTGGGGGCTCATTCCCTCAGCACAATCACTATGAAGCAGGATAATCAAGAAGTTAGGAAGACTAATCTCAAACAAATCGACTGCCAAACGCACGATGCACTGGCCTCGAATCTGGACTCAGCCGACAGACTCAGCTCTCACCCAATTGGACCGCTGTACCAAGCGGCGCTTCGACTTCACGGCATTGGACGAGGCCTCGCCTGCGGCCTCCTTTGCTCGCACCCTTGGCCTTGGCTACTCTTGGGTGAACACATAGTGGCCTCTAGAAAAGGAGCACTCTATTATTACAAGATTGATTATTAATATTACTATATAGTATATGATAATAATTGTATTTACAATAGAGTTTACAATAAAATGTATATATAGATACCTGTGTATTAAACTATATTAAACGAAAAGTAATAGTCAATAGTTAGCAAAACAAAGTAACTAATCAGTTTACACTATATATATGACTATATCGTAGCATAATACGTTATATGCGACAATCAAAAGAAGGTCATCTACCTTCTGCTCAACAGTTCACGACCGAAAAGGATTCCGAAGAATTGGCAAAGGCAACACCTCACTAACTGCAGCTGCAGCTGCAGGCTGCGGTTTTCTCTCGCCTCCAGCCACTGGAACACTTCGGGTCTAGAAAGGTGGAAGATTGCTCCAACTGGTTTCAGTAGATGTCTCCTTGTGTTGAGGAAATTAAGCTTCCAAATATGTTCCATTATTTTCCTCGTGTTTTCCCAAATTCACAATGTTCCAATTGTTTCCAGCTCAACACAAATGTACCCAAACCTGTTGGGTGTCGAGGCCTGCCATGATGAGACGATCCTCCACTTCAAATCATTGTTGCATGTATTTCTACGCAGCAACAAATACTCACTGTGACGTCCTGAATCACAGAGCCCTAAATCCAATACGTTCATATGATTCATATGTGTTCTTACAATTTTCCAATATACAAGTGTGTTCCAATTACGACATATGTTGATCACAATGAGCGCTACCAACTCTTTGAACCACCGCACCGAATCCTTGTTCTCCTCGTGCGACTCGAACACGAGGCCCTGAACATGAGCCCCGCACTCCTTTCGCTCCGCTCCTCTTCCCCTGGCGGAATCCCAGATTCGAGACCCGCTGAGATGCTGGAGAAGACCCGGCGGTGGTTTTTGGATGCACTCCCAGTCAGACGAGTGACTCTCAGCCAACGAGGTCAACGAAAACAGTTTCACAACAAAGAATGGCAAACAGCCTCTTTCACCACTGCCACCCCTGCAGTTAAGGCGGGATAAGTAACACTGTGGACAGTGGACTTGTGTGGACACTGTGAACCTTCCGAACACCACAAAACGCCTCTTTCAGAAGGAATAAACAAAGTCGTGAGCTGTGACAGAGTGGTCCTTTTAGAACAATCCCGGAATCGAGATCGGTCAGCGGACTCAGTTCGCGGAAAGACTTGTTCCCCACGACTGGGGAACCCGGTCGGAAGAAAGGGACGGTCCTTGAACATGCGAAGAAAGCCTATCCCTACAGTCCCTGCAGGTCCAGTCTGACCTGTTGGTCCTGGTCCCTGATCCAAAAAACTGCATTGAGTCCGGATTTTTGGTCCTCATCCACTCCAATAAACTGAGGCCAGTTCCTGACCTGTCGGCTGTATTGGATTGGGTAGGACATGGTAGGACCCATCAGCAGAATGTCACATTATGTCACAAGTTCTCAGATCATGCTGGCCAATAAATGCCCCATACCCCATCATGCGTCATGAAAAAACTAATCATATCTTTGCGACTAGCTGCGGGGAATGAGATGGAGCCAGCCCAAGAGTCATTTTACCTCAGAAACATGAAAAACGGACGGCTCCATCTACACTCCATCGCTTTAGACTTGCTAGCCACAGCAGTCCTAGTAGCCTTGCATGCGGCTTCACACCGTTTTAAGGTGTGCATGTTTGTTCAATTTTTTCCATGTACTCAAAGTACCGGATGGTAAATTTAACCGTTCCTTTCAACAAGGGGGTGTTCCTTGGGTGTACAAAGGGTCAATGAGATTGCGGCTTCTTTTGGAGACGATGCTCCAAAGCATGAAACAATTTAAGTCGACATCTAGGCCTGGGCCGAGAAAGTGGACAGTGTCAAGCCTGCGACCTTAATCAGTATGTAATTATGTTCTTGGTCGTTATGATTCCAACACGCCAGGGACTGGCCAAATAGAATTTTGATCTTCTTCATTGAATCATGCTTCCAGGATGACCCTTTGGCGGCCCTCATTTTCCAAACAACGACGTTCACTCACCACAGAAGGTTTTCATTGTTCAACAAGCCCTGGTTCCCACATGTCATAGGATGTTTCTGTAAGAACATCTACTAGAAACAATATATTTTGGGATTTAGACATATGTCCTATACCACCAACTTACATACGACTTTCCAAACTGCCGGCATGCTTTCTCCTCGCTGCAAGTGTCTGGTTCTGGAGATCGCAGCTGTTCCCGTGGAGACTGTGAAGAAAAAACATCTCTGAACCACTGCAACCCCCCTTCCCAAACTCTTCTGCAGAAAGTGATGCACCTCCCACTCCACCAATCTTGGATTTCACTCTTCGTTGCACTCCGTCCCGTTGCCAAAACCCACCAGCGCCTTGCCAGCACCCTTGCCTCAGGCGACCGATGTGGCGTGGCTCGCGGTTTCTGGGGTCCACCGTCCCGTGCTTGTTGACCAAACAAGAATGGACCAAAACAATCTATATACTCAGGAGTTCAAACAAAATATATAGTGTTTTTTCTGTGTTTTTTTTCAACGACGAGTTGAAGGAGTGAAAATAACCATCAAACATGTTATTTTTCAGTTGTGACACTCGAGAGTTGAACAAAAGATAGAACAAGACATGTTTCAGCAACCATGGCAAGATGCTGTCACTGCTCTGCAAACATAAGACGAGACAGGGACAAAGCAAATCGGTCGTTCTTGCAGCGAAGTCCGTGGAGCGGAGCAAACGCGCCCGGTCGTAGTTGTTTGGGGCAAAACCTGCAATGAATGGCTCCCGCAGCTCCATGACTATAGCTAATGTGTATAGTTTTAATGTGAATTTGTGATATGGTGCAAATACACACACATGCGCACATTCATACACAAACAAGCACTTGCTTAGAACACAGGGATCCAACCCTTTCCGTCCTTCCGTCCGTCCTTCCCACCGGGTCGCCCGGCGTCGGCCTTTGCCGCCCATGACCTGAGCCAGGCCGGTGGGCCGGTGAGCCAGGCCCCGTGTGAAAACGTAGATGAAAGAAATCCGAAATCCTGCTCGATGTTCAAGCGACAGTGCCTGTATCCAAAGTTTTAAAGAACTGTTTCACGCTTCTCAATGCACAATTGTTCAAGAGGGTTCACCATGCATGTCCTTTTCACTGTATGAATGCCAATTAAAGGTACCTACGCAGAACATTGAGGGGCTCACCACCAATGAGTTCTCTCGAAATGGCAATTGCCATAAAGGAACATTTGCCTGCCCGATCTGGTCCAAAGTCCAGAGCTCATGTTGACTCATGATTTTCTCCATCTTAACTGCCACAAACTGGTTAGAGATCAGGATGGATGACTCATGATGAATCATTGGCGTGCAACACTTTGCCTTCATGACTTCATGTAGGACTGTTGACTCCTTCATCAAACCTCCGAACACCTTCCTAGGAGCAAGGTTCGCTACGTTCGGAGCATTTCGGGCATCGCTACGGACGGAGCGATCGGACTCTACGAACGGGGCTCCTGGCCTTACTACGAACGGAACAAGAACGCTACTAGGAACAAGTGCATCGCTTCTAGTAACAAGTGCCTTACTAGTAGTAACAAGAAGCATGAAGGGGCTCCTGGCCTTACTACTAGGAACAAGTGCATCGCTACTAGACCGGCCCCGGGCGAACTCCGCTCACCACGGCCGGGGCTTGGCGCACCCACCTTGCGCACCACGGCAGCACAAACCACGGACTCACTCCACGGCGCAAACGGCAGCCATGGGGTCTGCAGTGGTGAAAACGCGTTGGTTTTCACGCGTTTAATCAATTTTTTGAAGAAGACTGGGAAGTAGATCTGGCCACCCCAGAATAGGGTTGCATGTTAAAGGGCATATCAGAGCAAGCTCTAAGAGGAAATTGCGTGTGTTCTCTACGTTTCCTGGAAACAGCGACAAGCTCGTTCTTGTTCAAAACGTTTGGTACATTGAATCTACTTCTGAGCTAGCAAATGTGGGAGGTTTCCGAGTAGCACAAATGTACCTAGTCGAACGCATTCTCTATCATTCTCTATATCGCATATAGGGCACAGCTCGACTCTCCTGGTAGGATGCATGGGCATATTCCAACGTCAAGATTCAGGTAGGCGGTTGACAATCTTCAAAACATCTATTGTGATAGGAAGGGGAGAATAAAACCAGGGGAACAACAACAAGTTACACACGTTATACTGTTGATTGTATATGATTGGTGGGTTCCATGTGACTGGAACTCGTCTTCTCTTGCTCTTTCTCGCGCGCGGGTGTGGAATTCCACGACGGTTCATCTTCACGTGCTTGGCTCTCAGAGGCGGAGTGCACGTCTAAAGACAATGTGCATATATATATATAGTTGTACTGTAATTGGGCCAAAGGGCTACCGGCACAGCAAGGCTTCAACAATGCCACACAGCAAGATGGTTTCGAGAAATGATCCACTCTTCAATCCTGTCCAAATTGTTCTGCTCTTTTGCCAAATTGAACCTATATACAGTACTGTTGTTCTTCAAAAGAACAGGCAAAAGTTGAACCATGTCTTTGAACCTCTTGTCAACTTGTGACCAGGAAAACCCGTCGCAAAAAACACCAGACTACTGGTGCAATAAACACCGTACTAGTCACCGTAGCAAAAAACACCGGTCACCGTAGCAAAAAACACCGGTGACTCGTCGAAAAAACACCGATCTACATAACTGTCTGGAAATACCCTGATTACTGTCGCAAAAAACACCATTCCCCTTGTCAACAATCCTGTTCAATCCTCCTCTGTTCAGTTCTTTTTTGCCAAACCTACCATTGTCTTTCAAGAGTCTGGCTTCTTGAAGAATCCGGGTTCAGTGGCAGAACGATCCTAAAGGTCCCACAACACCAAAGGAAAACCCAAAGGAGAACGGCCGGAAAAAAAGCACCACGTTTTATCTGCCCACTGTCCACCTGGTTCTGTGAAACGTGTCAACTATAGTGGGAGCAAATCCAACAGCATCATTTAGGAAAACGGAAACACTGCAGTATATATAGTCAGAAGATCTTGGAAGAAGTGACCTATGCCAGAATGAACATCACAAGCCATATGTGGAAAGCTCCCAAAAAACAAATCCCATACCAGATCGACATCTGCAGTGACATTCTTCGTCTTCGCTGCATCTTCGGTCAGGGACTCAAAAGAGATGATGTTCAGACCTTGGCTAATCGCCGGGAAAGCAAGACTGGAATCCGTTCAGAGAGAGAGAGAGAGACAGACAAACAAACAAACAGAGAGAGGGAGAGAGAAATGTGCCTCTCTGGTGGTGCGGGATTTCTTGTGAAGCAATTTTTCGAACATGTTTGAACTCAGTAGGATGTCACTCCAAAAGAACATGTTTTGTGTCTGGGAGATGGTCGATGGTCCGTGCATGAGCAGCCCTCCTTGGAGAGGTAGCCGAGTGATTCCATCGAATACAACAGGCACAACATGCGCCAGACCATCCATGGAACTGGCCGATTTACTGATCAGTTGGGGTGGTTGGTTTCTGGGCTGAAAGTAGGCCGGCATACATTTGGGGTATATCCTATTACCTGCAACAGTGGATGATGATCGTTAGGTTGCAGACCATTTCTCTACAAAATAGTGATTTGCAAGTATTACAGGTCCAAACCCCAGTCCCATATTCCAGCACTGGAGTGTCTGGTGCCGGGATCCGCATATGCGTGCAGGTCACAACTGGTTCACGGTTCGCATGACCAGGTCATACCCACAACCAAGCAGGGCCAGGAGGGTCCAGCGGAAGTAGCTCGGCAACGGAACGTGGATGTTCTCAACTGGGTGAGCTTTTCAGGGCACGCTCGGGGCAAATATGCAAATACTGTAGATTCTGTGTACACGGAAACTCTGCTTGATCTCAAAGCGGCTTGGGGAGTGTGGATGGATGTGGATGGATATTCTTGAAGTTTTCAGGATTGCTTCAGGTCCAGAAGATACCACCCAACTTGGTGAAAATCCCATGGTGCCTTGGAGCAGCCAATGGCCTACCCTTGTTGGAGAAGGTTCTAAACTACAAGAACTGACCCATCCCTTGTTGTTCCATCAAAGATCTCAATGGCCTTGGTGGGTTAGTGCTGGTTAGTGGGGTAGGTGGTGACCTACAGCTACAGTTCCTTCTCCACCAACCAATCCTCGCCACCTCCGCTGCAATTCGCAGTCGGACGACACCACGATCTCGCCCACCTCGGTCGACGATCCCAAAAGGCCCGATTCGGACATGCTTCGCCGGGTTCCGCGGAGGTTGCAGCAAGCTCCTTGAAAGAAAATAACATACTCTTGCACTCTCTTCCACTCACTAAACATGGACCTGGAGTGGAAAACCCTGTTCCTAGAGCAAAAATGTCTTCCCAAGGCCATACACTTTGTTGTTTGTCCTCCCTCGTGTTCAACACTTGAGACGAACTTGAGACCTCTCGGCCTTTCTCTGAGCACAGTTGAAAGTGGACCCCAAACAATAAAGGTACACCGGTTGTTTCTCGAGGTACACCCCAAACAAATCAAGGCTAAATCCAACATGTTGATTTCGAGATGCTCTTCGACCATAACAGTGTTTTGTCTTGCTAAAACTAGTACAGCCTAGCCAGTACTGCGTTCATCGGCTTTTGATTGCCAAGAGTGTTTTGGAGCTGAGCATTGTCCAACAAGTCTTAAAACAAGAAACATGTGATCCACACATTCCAGCCAGCTTCAGGCTTAATGGAAAATTAACAAGCTAAATGAAACTAATCTAACTATAACAACTAAAGCAAACAAACAACAAGATTACACATGCCTGCATTAAATGCCTCCTTGCAAATCTCACTTTCACTATCTTCGCCCTACTTTCCGCCCCGGGCCACCTGAAGGTGGGCCCCGCACCTGAAGGTGGGCCCCGCTGGGTTCCCAACTCACTTTCCCTCGCCCTCCGCGCGCTTCAGCGCTTTCTCATTGGACTTCAGTAAGCCTCACCGGCAGTGGACTTTGCGTGACGCGCTGCTAGCATCGCGGTGCGTGTCAGGTGTGCCGGGTCGACATGGTGCAAAAGGTGCTCAATGGTCACTTATATAGTCTGATATGGTCTGATAGTCCGAGTGTGTTGAGCACCCCAAAGATTATGACCAGTCTTGAAGGTGACAGTCTGGCACAGCTATCCTGGTCAAAAAGTGGACATTGATGAGTGACATACCAGAACAAAAATCGATCAGCAGGACTCCTCTACTAGCTGCCAATGTGTTTCAATATGTTTAATGGGTGTTAGCGCAAACCAAGAACAGTGACGCATTGCACGATATCTTAGTAGGTCTACCCTTGATCGTACATTCTTCTTTTTGTTAATCACGACTGTTGAACGGGAATCGAGCATTTGTGGGTTTGGACTGCTGTCTTACTTATGAGTTTTGTCTTCCCTGTCATTGGCACTCTTTGCTCTTGGCCTACCTGGCACGATATCCATGGGCACAAATCCCAAATTGCAGCAATTGCAGTTGCAGTACATTCTTTATGTGCATCTAATTAAGTGTCCTCAAAAAGAAGCATTTGGTGCTTGACAGGGACCTCTCAAACCCTTCTCGCCCAGAACTGCCATACTAGTAGCTGTGCCGTTTTCCAATGCGAACGCCGTCAAATGTAGGGATTTTAGTGATTTTCTGGCACAAAGGAGTGATCGTCATTGGGAGAGCTAGAGCTTGGTTTCAGCCACTGACGGGTGACAAACCATTCCTGACAATATATCTGACCTTGGTGATGTTCTCAGGTAGAAAAGCAAAATCCGACCTGCGAAGGTCTTTCGATAGTGATGAAGCACAGCCCTTTCCATAGATTCCACATGATCCAACATGATTCAAACTCAAACCGAAACAAACTCCAACCTGGATGATCTGACTTTTCCACTAAAGCAACACACTATCCGAACCCAACACACGCGATGCCCTTCCCGAAACGTGCCGTGCTCCACAGCCGTCAGGTGGCTGTAGCTCGTGAAGGCACCGATGTTCCCAATGATGGCAAAGAGCATGACCTCGCCCGCCGAGCCGTTTTTCTACGGTGACAGATCCCAGTCCAAACAAAGCAAACAACGAAGTGGACTCAGTCCGGGAAGCATCAATCACATCGAAAGACCAAGCCTCTCAAAGAAGAATCTTTCGGAGAAAACATGTGGAGCTCTGGTCCAAGAAAGCAAGCTCTTCAGCTTCGGTCATTGTATTTGGCATAGTTGTGTCGTCTTTGTCCATGAAACGACAAATCCCGTGTGATGGTCCTCTCAATGCATTCAACAACTGGGGCATCTTTCTGAATCAATCCCTTCGCCGAGGAGCCGCAGTCCAAACGCCGCCCGGCAAGGATTCCAAACCCATGCAAATGGAAAGCAAAATGGTTGCCTGGATGGAGCACTAGCTGGGTCTGGGCTCTGAGAGGAAAACAACGGATTGGGGACGGGATTCAGCGAGTGGATGAGCTAGGCGCACCCCTCCAAACGCTAGCCCTGTTGACTCCGTGGATGGCCTATCAGATTGGTTTCACTTGCAAGGTGCTTATATACACTGTTGGCAAAAACCAACATGATCAGATGTGGAAAAAAATCTACCGAACACCTGAGCAACTGAAGATTGTCAATCTGGGTCAACATGAACGGCCAAATCAGCGTTCATAGGTCTGGTGAGTGCCCTCCAATACATCAATACGTCCGCCGACCTTGATCTCATCGTTATTTGTGCAATGTGCAATGTATGCCATTCGAATGCTAAGCCTGAAACCGATACTGCAAACAACTAAGAAAACAAAAAAGCCGGAATCTTGTGCACGCTCCAAAAGGCTGGTGTATATAGAGGTTGTCCAAGAACATCAGCCCGTCTCCGGGATCGGCCACTCGCCGGTAACCCAAGTCACGAAGACGGGGGCCATAACCAATTGATGATATGTCCAGCCCTTTACGCATGTAGTGCGAGGTTTGGGACCGAAGTCCGAGCACTTGAGAGCACAGACCAGCGACTTTAGTGTCAACAAGTCCACCACCCGGAAGCGAAAGGATCTCTCTCTCTCTCTCTCTCTATTGGCTGTCTCTTCAGGGCACAGCTTTGTTGAAGTTTCCCGCAAAGGCAGCATGGCTGGCGGACAACTTCTGCACCACTGTGTACTGCAACACATTGTAGCCTGCAGGGGCAGGACAATTTGTTTGTGCCCTCTTGCAGTTCCATACATGGCACTTCACTATCTTCGCTTACATATATGAGTTGGCATGGTGGGGCTTGACAAAGACCTGACAACACGTCGGGACCTGGAGAACAAAAAAACACGCATCGACTTCCTTTGCCAGTCAAGACCAGTGCTACTGAGACCGACGATTTAATTCATGCACTCGTGGAAGTGAGTGTTCAGGAGAAAAGCAATGCAAAAAACAGACTCCGACTCTTCACTTCCGCAGCAATCCTCTTGGCGTTGCGAGCAGTGTCCGAGGCTAGCAGCCACAGGCACATCCGTCAACTCAGCTACAGGATGGCCCTTCATGCCTTGGAAACCAAGCCAAGCACCCAGTCGAAGACTTGAAAAATGTTCCTTTCGAACATGACAACTTGCCAAAAAGTCTCCCAACCAAGCCATGTCAGCCCACCTCTCACTATCAACCACCCTCACCCAGTCGAATGCCCCCCCCGACCGATGTCGCCGGACCGACGATCGACCGACCTGCAGCGATGACGCCAGAGAGGACGACCCACATGACGGTGGAGGGGCTGAGCTCCATGACCTTCTTCAGGACCTGGTGCTAAGCTCCAAAGACTGGATTTCCAGACTTCGACCGGGCAGTTGCGGCAGTTGCGGCAGAGAAGCTGCCGGTGCGGCAGTTGTGCATTTGGTGAGATTATATTGTTGGTGGGATTTTGATCTGGATTTTTGGAGTGGGGTCATCAAATGAAGGAAGACCTTGGAATGTTGAGCAAAATCTTAGCATGTCACCACCTGAATTGGTCATTAGTTCAAGGCAACGGTGTTTTCATCCTGGACCTAGGACCACCACTTGCAAACACACTCCAGTTTGTCTGAAGATGCTCATGCAATCTGAGCTTCCGCAGAGTCCTCCACGTGATTTTCGTGTGTTGACATTTCTTCAAAATCTCACAGCCCCTGTAGCTTGACTGGATGACTTGACATTTTACCCCGCTGAGTTTTAGATGCATTGATCCAATCACCAATAAATACCTCAATATATCTCAATGTTCAATCTATGCAAGCATATGCAACCAATGTAATTATATATACGCCTTTGGTGTGTGGACATCGTAATACGGCAAAACACAAATACGTTCATGCTCCCTCCAAATGCGTTTTTCGTCAATGCCTATATGTTTAAATGCATCTGGCAAGCCCCAAATCTGGATCCATAACTATATAATGCCAACCATCTGATAGACGCTGCCTCTCTTCTTGGCTTTTGGTTCACCCCTACCGCACCACCGCCACGCCCGCTACGCCCGCCGACTGTTACGCCCGCCTGGGCATCGCTAATGTCCCCGAAGTTGGGCCAGTCCACTGGGTGCAGGACCCACAGGGAGGCTGGAAGGAGGAAGATGGCGCATGGGATGGCCATGTAGAAGATGGTGTCCACCTGAGGTTGTGGTGGTGTTTTGGTTGGAGAGAAAACGACTTTCCACAGAGGTGTCCACACACGGAAAAAGAGCCAAGTATGTATATATATATATATACAGGGAAAAAGAAAACAAACTAGACTGGAACTGGTGTCTCGTGACATGTTGAGACAGAGAAAAAGGTTGAGAACGCTGAACAAAATACATGTGGTCTTTGATATGTACCGGTAACAAACACGTAACTAGTGCTCTGATGTTCTCCCGTGGAGACGAGGCAGGAGACAAAAGCAACAACTGAACACAGTGCTCTGAGGTGGGCACCTTGAAGGGCAAACCATAGGTGTACAGGAACCTCCAAAGGTTGTCCCTTATAGGTGTTGATCAACACCAGTAGTAGACACGCGCAAGCCCAAAGAACTCCTATTCCTATATGAACATGTCTGCTAAAATCATGCAAATGTCATACATCATGTCAACTTGATCTCATTTGTCTTTCTACTGACCCAAACTGGCCGCCCACTCATGACCTTTCCTCTTTGAACAACAGAATCAGTTTGTGAATAATTTGTCTTTGACAATCCCCCCACGCAATTCATGATGACACGGTTTGCTGGACCACCCCGTCGTTCTCTCTGCAGGTTTGACGGGGGGTCGTTCTCTCCGTCCGCAGTTGGGCGATTCAATGCTTCGAGGCGCTGGATTCAAGGCCGGCTTCAGGACACTGCCGAAGACGCTGGCCAAAATCAGGTTTACGGCGCAGGCCACATCCGACCTGCTTGCGCAGCGCAGCGGGTTGGAAGCAGCAGAACTGCTGGCCGGAGCTGCAAGGTTTCAGGGGGGGTTTGGGTGCAAGTGTCAGTGTTCTCAGAGGCTCTCAGGTTCTGTTGACCCAGATCTAGTCTATCTTCCTTGGACAAAACATAAATATATGTTCTTCAAGTATTCCCATCTCAATCTCACTCACTCATCTATACTCATCTTCGTTAAAATATGTTAAAATATAACTATGCAACGATACATCCCATTGGACTGAAGCTGCTGCCGCGGCACAGGCTACAAACAAAGACGCCAAGCCCCAAGTGCTTAGACCTCAGAAAAGCAGCGTCTTTCAGGTTAAGAGCACTTTCCTCTCGATGTTCAATCAACAGTGACCCCCAACTTTGAATGTGCTATCACCACAAAACCACACACTGGTCCACCAACTAACGCCAAGCCATTTCCCTTGATTCACCCCCACAACCGCACCGCTGGACCTTTCCGACCCCGGGGTTCCATGGGGAAAATGACCGGCGGATGCACACCGAAATGGGAACAGGTCGCTCAAGCCTAACACAGCCTTCTACGACCTTGTTTCTTGTATTGATCGGTGATTTGTCATGTGGGTGTTGATCTAAATTCCTTTATCCGGGATCCGTCGTCTTAGCCAAAAAAATACTTTAGCCAAACTTTCGCCTTCCTGCGTTTTATCTTTCGCCGAAGTATGTTGTATTTGTGTGCGCCATGTATGTTGTATGATGGATATCAATTTTGTTCATGTCAATGGCTTCTTCTTTACTGGCAAATACAAAATAAAAGCTTCACTGCTTGTCAGCATGTGTCTTCTACTTAACTGTTGACACCCTGTATGTCTCTTTTGTTTATCCTGGGTGTCAGCAAGAATCAAAATTGCAAGAACCACTGTAGCCATATCTTTCGCAAAAAAAAAACTTTGCCAACTCGAGAAAAAACTTTCGCCAAATGAGATTTTGATATGTTCCGGGTCATCGTCATCAACAATCCTGTCTAGGACCTTCAGATCGACAACCATGTCTTATTCAAGACCCAACTTTAGACCTATAACTTTAGACCGAAACTAGACCTTAAGAGGCCTTCTTTTCCATGTCCCTTCGTCCCGGTCCGGTCGGTCCGTCGTCCCGGGCGGTGCGTCATCCCAAGGCACTCGTTGTTGTGGGCGCCGTGGCTCTTCGCCAACGTCGCCAGCGCGGCGAAGAGAACGCCTGAACCCGACACGGGCGTCCGACCGTCCGGTTCTCCGACCGTTGCGGGTGAAAGGGGGTGTGATCGTCTGGGGTCACATGTGAAAAAGGACTGGTGGAAGGATGACTTGTGGTCAAGTGTTCTTCTCAGAATGGCTTCCATTTCTTCAAGCAATCCATAGTCCATAGTTCATTGCCCCCATATGCCCGCATGCTCTCACTAGGTAAACTGTCCCATGCCATGGAACATTTCCCTGCCTGCAACCATGAAGGTAACCTCGGACACGCGGACCTTGCTGGCTAAGTCCTTGGTTGCAACAGGGAACTGCAAACACTGCACGACATGATTTGTATCAGAAATTCCCAGAATTCAGAATGCCTCAGCCTCTCGAATCCAAGGTGGTTATCTCAGAATGAGTGAAACTCTCGAGCCAAGGAGTGTTGAACAATTTTCGTCTTTGCAGCCCAACCCTTTGGTTTTCAGGGATCGCCGAATCGCCGATCTTGAGACAATATACAACTCCCTACAACGCGCAAAGACAGCAAATCGAAAAATGTTAGTGGCCCAAGAACCCCTTTTCAGGACCCTGCTAAGACGTGGGTCGAACAATTTTCACTTTGTGGAATTTAACATGTCATGACCCCAAGACTGCCTCCAAGCCCTGCCCCTCACGAAGATTTGGTGTCCCATGACCCGTAGACTGTTTTTTGTTTGGATGTTTAAGCTAAGCCAAAGAGTCTGGGAAGCAAGGCCCCAGCACTTGTTGAAACACCAATGTCACCAGTGGCAAGCACGACCTGAGTTGCGAAATCATCCAGAAAGAATAAGGATGCAAAGGAATGTCATCAAACGGATCTTTCTGATGGAAGGTACCGGGCCAAAATAGCAAACATTGTTTATTCACATACTACCTACATACCTGGATGTTCCGTTAAAACCTTTCAACCTACCCTTGATGTCATTATGATCTATTATATAAGTATGTTGTTAGGCCGGAAACGTATGTTTGTCCATTCCATCACGTTTGTACTTACAAATGTCTGTTGTTTGTGGTTACACACCCTACAGGTCATTGTAATGGTCACTGTTTCGTCTCGTCCGATCGGTGAAGCCGCATGTGGGGGCCCCCTTGCTGTCCAAAGCAGCTTGAATGTCAATGGTGGGCGTCTCTGGGACTAAACAAAGTCATATAGATCCGGAAAAAGTGTATTGGCTGACGCCCATGGTCACAACATCTCGCAGCTGGGGCAGCTAGATACCCTCCACAAGAGACTTCTGCACCACGGTAAATTAAGTCTACTTCCACTGCATACTCTGGCCAAACACCGCGAAAACGGCAAAAGCGCGTTTTTTGCCCTGTGGCCGGATGATCATGTTCAGCGACACCGCCAACAAGGAGAGGCTGAAGTTGTTCAAGCCAATATTCATCGAGAAGGCGAAGGAGAACAAAATAACACACGCCACCTGCCAAAAGCGGTAACAAAAACCTTTTCGAAACTACACTTGACGTCGCCACTCTGTGTGCGCGCGCGCTCGCCTCAAGCAGTCCCTGTAGTCCAGGTACTCCCGGCAAACAAGTCTGGCTCCCTCAGGTTATCCTTTTCCCCTTTTCCCCCCTTGCTTGCTTGCCACACCAATTCAAAAATATATCCACGCTTCATCAGTAGGGCTTTGGGCGGTTTTGGACAAGTCCAACAGCCCTTGTCATTCCTTGACCTTGTCACGAGAGCTGTTGATCGCACGGGAGGAATGCATGCAGTTGGTCAATCCTATGAGTCGCCTAGCGACTATACATGTTCACCTGTATCTGTTGACTCCAAGATTACTTCCAGTGGGTTTGCTGAGGTGTTTGAGAGCCTTGTAATTGTTGCAAATTAAGAAAGCAGGGTCATACCAAGACTGGCTTCAATGATTGGAGTTGACCGCGGATTAATTATAGTCTTTGTCAAAAGACCAATGCTGAAAAGGGTTCGACCTTACCTTATTTGTGGGTATGCTGGTTGTAAAAGACATCACATACATGCTCAGCAAAATCACACATGTCACATGCCACCTATATACAACACAAAGTAACTTCAGTAACCTCCCCTAACCCGTCATTCCCCACTAATGGCACTCACCTTCATTTAACAAATTAAATAAGCATGTTCAAAACAACACGTTTTTGGAGCTTCCCCATCTAACAATGCTGGGGTTAATGTATATAACTGGCCTCTTCCCTTTCTGACTTCTGGTTTCTTCTTTCGGTGCCAGTTGGGGGATTGTTGGGTAGAGTTCATCCAAGATCTTTAGTCGCTTCAATTGGCACTCAGTTTTTGACATAGTTTGAGAATGCTTGAGCTAGTTCCTGGGTCGGTGGAACAACATATGATGATTTCGGCCATCGACTCCCAAATAAGTCCTGAAGCTTCCTTCGCTAATTACATAGAACGAGCATCAAAAAGTCTTCATTCAAGCAAATAACGCTACACTCACTCAAAACACACGCATGGAAACCTCTCATTTCCAACCGATTGGCTGGGTTCACCACATTTCAACTTGCAGACATTTTGCGGCAGTTTGCAGGCGTTATGCAGATGTCCACCTTCGTTCCCCCCAAAAATATGTTTTCACAGCGTCTCACAAAACGTTCAAAACCTCGCGCAAAACTTAAAAAAAAAAAAAAACATGTGACACAAAATCCAGAAGTGTTTAGACTTAAATTTAAACCCAGGGTTCGCCCCAACAAAAACGTTCAGGTTGTAATTCATCTATATCCTCCATCTTATCCAAACAAATGACCTGATCATGGGCCGAGGCCGCTAAGGTGGCACATCTCTTGTCATCACTTCACCCTTCCAAGTGCGGCGGGTCGAGTGCCTCAGACCAGGTGTTCAAGCGTCGAGGCGTGTAGCGGAACGGCGTGACGTACAGCACCGCCACCACCACAAGGAGCCTCGGCCCGGCGGCGACACGGCGACACGGCTCGGGTTTGGCAGGGACAAAACAAGTTCAGGACAGGGTGAGTGCACCCAAGTCCAGCATGTTGCTGGTATACGCCAACCTGTATAGTGGAAACAATCCCCATTTCACATCCGTTCGCGATCATGTTCCTCCTACTAGGTGCGTGGGCTTACTGTAATTGCTACGTTTTTTGTCCTGTCCCAGTGGGCGGTTCCTTTGCCTTTATCCAGCCCGTCCGTCCGCCCAGCAAACTTGGCGGCAAGGAACACCATGAAGGCAACGACTTGCTGAATGGCAGTGACCAAGAACCCGGCTGGAATGCCATCGATGTTGAGCCTCGGTCTGTCGACCAGCCGCTAGAGAGCGATCCGATCCGATTTCGTGCTGGCCACCTGTGGACGGTTCATGCCCATGCATTCGAAGATATTCGAAGATTTGCTTTAAAACATGACAAGTTTTCCATACTTCGCCGATGACAAAATCCGCCCGCACCGAAGGTGCTGAGGGGCGGCATTGTTGCGTTGAGGTGCGAACACTGAGCTTCTACTAGCGTTCGGGGCCTTTATCATTCTTTATCGGTTGGGCACGGACATGCATATCCTGCAAATTCCTGCATCATGAGGTGTAGCCACCCGGGGAATTGGTGGAAGAAAACATGCAAAAACACAAACATAATGGCAGGTTTTGCAGCATTTCGTGTGGAGGTGGTGTGCCGTATGATCTGGGACAGGACATGAAGTGGTATGCTTGCAGTGAACGAATAGATTAAGATTCTTGAAATGATTTGTTTGTTTACCTTTCATGGACCTGGCGGTGCAAATGATGCAATAGCAGGACATTGATGAGATCAATCTACGGTATGTTACTTGCCATCTCTAGGTCCCTTCAGCACGACCAGCTTATTTGCAGCAATGCCTGCAAAGTGTGTATTTCCCATATATGTTTTCATTCATTCACTGCATGGTGCTCGTCATCTCTAGGTCATCATGCAAGCTGTACATTTTTCAGGGGCCCAACTAAGATCCAACAAAGCCTGCAGAGTAAGTACCGTTCAACCGATCATGCATGTTGCGCACTGTATTGCAATCACTCTATGTTCGAACTCGAGATGACAACTACCATGCAGTAGGTGAGCAAAGAAGAACTTGCAACCATTGCTGGAAGAAAGCTCGACCCCTGAAGAATGTAGAATTCAAGGGGTCGATAAACAGAGTGATTAATAGACAAGTGCCGTGCAGTGGATACATGAACAAAAAATAGGAAAAAACACAAACACAGGCATTGTTGGGTATACAGTAAGTTGGACCCCTGAAACACTGACAATCTCAAGGAGGTCCAAACATAGCGTGATTCCAAAAAGACTCTACAAAATGCATGATAACCTAGAGATGACAAATACCATGCGACAAATGATTGACACACATATATGGAAAATAGACAAGTTGCAGGCAATGGGCGTAAGTTGGACCCCTTGAAACATGTGCAATTTCAAGGGGGTCAAACAATAGAGTGATTTCAGTAAACTACCTATAGAGTCCTGCTCATTCGGTCACGCATCGTCTGGGGTGTTGGCTTGGACATGAACTACCTTTCTTTGCCTTTCTTGAAGCAAACGGTGTGGGCGGTTGTGATTGCGAAGCAACATGAACATATATATATATATAGTCTAATATCAATATATATAGTTATATATATATACCCACAACATCCATGGGACTGACATATTTGCCCACATTGACCTTCAAAAAGAACCACCCCCATGCAAATATTCCATACATGGATTGTCTGTCGATTGGTGCAATCACTCGGACGTTGTGTTTGAAACATGGTCAAGTCTGAAGGGTGTTTTTGGTGCCCACGAGCCCACTGTTTTGGTGAGGGGAATCATGTCCTTATGGTCAGTATATAAAAGCTGCTGGCTATTGTTGTATTTCATGTTGTTCTTTTCTGGGAACCAAATGCTTAGTACTAGCAAAGCATCCAAGACCCTCCAAGAGGGTTGCTTCGCTCAAGCAGTGTCGGGCACCGTTGTTTGTTCATAAAAGAACCTCCTGGATGCTCCAGGTCCAATCGGATACCCGAAGACTCACCTGGACGAAAATGGATCACAGAAGGCCGAAGGCGAAGACTGCTAGCCTACGGCCTGTCACATGTGCGATCGGACCTGCAAGGTCTGGGATCGTTTCGTTCTCGGACCTGCAAGCGCTGCCGAACATGCTGACCGAACAGCTCGGATGCTTCATGGGACCAAGGAGCTCTGATGAGATGGTGGTGTTCGACAAGACCACCTTCATGTACAGGCTGAAACCTGCCTCGAGCGGCTGCAAAACAGCTCCATCCCGGTGGTGATGAGCCCAAACGTGGCCAAAACCATGTCAATTCACAGCGCATTTTGGGGATCAAACAATGACAGTCAATCGGATTTGCACGTGTAAAAGCTCGCCTTTGTTGGTGGCTTATTGTTCTATCTTTGCATTTCCTAAGATCCTTCTTGGACTGTTTTCGGCGGGGTCGGACCCTCCATAGCGGGGGTCCGGACCCTCGAAACCCCTTCCATTTGAGGGCCCGGATTCATAGGGTCGTGAACATGTGTGAAGTTGCTTGATTTTTGCACTGTGCAAAGGTTTGCAGCTTCAGGATTTAGGGCGGTGACCAGGATGTGTTCACCGAGCTCGAACTGTCACAACTAAGACCCCAAGATCGTTATGTTGAATTGGAAGTACATTGCAATAGATCCCGGTGGCTGACATAAAGCCTCAACTAAAGTGGTTTATAGGTTTCTTCCCTCTACTCCCTCTACCCGTTCCTGTTCAGATTTCTCACTAGCAAAATAGATTGGAAAAACCATACCATTGACCATGGCTGACGCAACGATCATCGTGAATGGGAGTGACCATTGTCCAAAAAGACCTTTGGGCACATGTCTGCAGGGCTGTTCACTCCTCAGGGCTGAAGTCTCCGACCACTTGGGTGAAGAGTGAAGAGCCCATGTTCTTTGGTCGGCTGTTTCCCTCCATCTTCGATCCAGGGCTGTGGAGAACTGGCGATCTGGCGACCCTGGTGACCGACCGAACTGGTGTCGCACTGGTCCCCCATGTGTTAGGAAAATGAGGAGGGTGACAGCCTATGATCCTCTGGTGGTCTGGGTATGTCTGGGTCTACCAGGAGAGCGGATGGTATGCTGATTGCTGGAAACGATCCCTACACAAGGGACTCCTGGGTGTATGGACCTTCATGAGCACCCATCTTCTCTTCCGGATGCGTGACAAAGATCGATGACTCAAAAACACTCCCTCAGTCGAAGGCATGCCCCCGAAAGGATGACCATGTTCCTCTATAAACAGGTGGCTTTTCCACTTCCATGTGCTTTGTCTTTTCCGATTTCCAGAAGTGCCCCGATCGCCCCGGGGCGATCTGCCTAGACTGGGGAACGTGGCCAGGGGTCGGTCTGGCCCTATGTGATTACACTCTGACGAACACATCACATGGAAGTGGAACATGGTCCCTTGAAAGGCTACATTCCTTTGGAAACAGGGGGTTTTCCACTTCCATGTTAGTGAGTCGGAGTGTAACCACACAGATTTCTTGATCTTTGTCCTCTTACTCCGAACTGGCCTGAGCACCAAAGTAGATCGCCAGCACCGCAGCAATCGTCTGCTGGAAAAGCAGCAGCAGGAAGCCTGCGGCCACTGGCCACGGGGTGTGGCTGTGTGCGATGTACGAAGGACCTACAGTTGGGCGGGGGTTCACACCCCAAGGGTCGTCTCCCGGTAGTGGCAGGCCCAAAAGGTGGAGCCTTGTAACAAGGCTGGCCAGTAGATGACGTCACGGCTACAGATTTGGATTGATATCTTGCTCATCTGCGTCTTTTCCCCAACACTCCATGTATGGACTAGTTACATATACACATTGGGGATCATTGGGGTGTTTTGGGGGGTCAATGTAGGTACTCCATCCATGGAGTGTCTAGGTTTGATCATCAATCTTGCTGAAGCCGACGATCACTGGGGAGCCCGGCGTTGAATCGGTGCTCAGCGCTCATGCTCCAAGCACCACTATATCCCTAATTAGAAGTCCAGTCTGACCCACGTCCAAACCTGCTCCTGAGTCCTTCAGTGAATGTATGACCAGGTCCAGTAGACCGGACCTGGTCATGGCCACCAGTGTAGTCTGGGGAAAGCCGGAGCCTATTGACATGCACACCTTGTGTACCAGCACCCTCCAACAGGTCGTTAGTTGAGGGCTGTTGGGTAGGTCTCAATTGGTAACCTGTCGGAGGAGGGTCCTGGTATTTCCCATTCCCTGTATTTAACAGTGGATGATGCTGGGACACTCCCCATGTCCGTCCCGGACCAAGACCTCGGCACCGCCACCCAGACCCGTCGCCCGCTTCACTTCGAGCTCGCCTACGATGAAGGCGCCCAAAGGGATCATCGCCTCCTGCGGCTGTCTGTACGCGAGGAGAAGGGGCAGAATTGGGTGGACAATAGCATATAGTTATACCAGGACCCCCAGTCGGGGTGGTTAATGGACACCCCTCAACAGCTAAGGGGCTATAAATAGACACCCCGACAGGAGGGATTGGATTGACTGTAGTTTTCAATTGGATTGTGATTGTCCCATGTGTGTCCATTTCATGCATGGATGTCACAAACAATTGGTATGGGTTTGCAAATAGAGTGTTACTATTATTGCAAGAACAGCTACAAGTTACTAGTAGGAACATTTGCCTTTTGATTATTGGTTGGCACAACAGGATTATATTGTGAGGTTCTATGTTGATGAGACGTCAAGAAATGTTCTGAGTGTGCAGTGTGGATGAAGGTTCGTCGACCAAATACGGAGCAAAAGAACTGCCAGTCTTGTCACTTGTGCATTGTTCAATTTATGACCTGCGTGTGTTACTGAACTACACCAGCTGACACCCTCTGATTGTTGAGCCATTGTTGAACCAATGAAACATGCCACGTGTATTGAGGCGTCAAGGTGCACCACATGTCGATTCCCAATTCCCGGCACGAACAAAACACCAATCTTGGCCTGCATGAGCTTGTTCTGGCTGCTGCTGTGGTGATGATGATGATGCTTCTTCGGCTTCACACCATCCTTCCATTTCGGCTTCCAGCGAGCGAGGGGTGTCGAAGCGAATCGAACAAACCAAAACACCGGAATCACAAATCACGGCATTGTGCCATTGGTTTTGATCAAGGGACCGAAAGAAGTACGGTAGTTGGTATTGCTTGATGTTGTATATTATATCAATCTATCCCAAATATGTTTCAATGGGAAGCGGAACACAACATGCTCGATCTGATGGTGAAGAGAGACTGTAAGTTTGTCAAGTTGAACTTTAAAAGGTCTAAAATCCCACATATCAACGGCGGCCCAAACAGGCCATGGGTCCCAAACTTAGAAACACACCCTTTGAGGGGAAGAATAAGAACACGCATCAAACTGTCCAAATCTGAAGGAATTATATATAGTCCCTTCTTCAATGTGTATCTTCTGTATACGGGTCCATATGCCCGTGTCTTCGCATCATGTTGACAACACAAGCATGTCTCCACCAATTGCCCAGCTCCCCTCACTGCTCCGGCCTTGGCCCCCTCAGGCTCAGGCTTGAGTGCCTGGCCGTGTGATGTGTTTGGATCAGAGTCGAGAAATCCACTGCCACTGCAAAACTCACATACTGTACATGGAACTGGCAAATTGACCGATGAGTTGGGGTCGTTCATGTCTGTTTTCGGGGGTCAATGTCAAGCTAAATACTCGGTTTTACAGAGTATCTTGCCATCGGTCAAGATGTTGGGTTTTTGCAGGGAACTCGGCCAGCGCCCGTCTTGGCACACGAAAAAGTGCTTGAAAGGCACAAGAGAGATTGAAAGACCCTATAGACCATAGGTATCCCCTACTAGGGTTCCTTTTGCAGGTCACTTATCCTCTCTTGGGCAACAAACTAATCAACTGACCTTCCAAACCGTGATTCACCTTTTCTTTTGTAATGCCCTCAAAATGCCACCATGACTGAGTTGGTCAATGAGTGGCCAGGTCAGGGTCGATCCTACCACTGGGCTTGCCCACGAGTTTCTGGCCAAATCGTCACAACGACATGCAGGATTTGGCACACAAGATTTCCCAGACCACTTGAACAAGAAATGAGGGCTAAAACCAGAACCCTTGCCAGACCAGTAAAACCAAAGAAGGCTGAGGAGCATACCTTGATACACTACTGATCTTTATACCTTGTCGTCCACTTCTACAAAAGACTCTCATCACATTCGATTCAACTCATCCAAACAACACATCTACAGAACAAAGTCTTTTGGCGCATGCAGCATACCAAGCAGTGTCCATCTCAAATGTTCAGCACCAATTCTACCCCCCCAAAACCCAGACCTTCTGGCCCCTCAGCCAGCTCAACCCAACCCAAGCAAGCCTCCAAACCTTCACTTCCCGCTTCACAACCTCCCACACGCATTTCCCACCAGGGCCAATCTACCACATCCACCTTCTGGCCCTCCACCGTAGCTGAAAAAGCGCCGCGAGGCGTCGGGCCTTGCCGTTCTGTGCCGAGGTCTCGGCTGCCATGGCTTCCGCCTGGCGCCGTAGCGCGTCCCGCTGCTGGGACTCCGCCTGCCGCGGCGATCGCGCGCGGTCGCCCGACGTGCGGTGGCGCGGAGAGAAGGATTCTCCCGGTGAAGGCGGCCGCCATGGGAAGTTGGCATCCCATGCTTCGCCTCCCATGAAGTACCAATATCTACTGAGGAAACAGGGTTTTGCAATTTGCAAGGTGGTTGCTATATTTTTTGGGCGGAGTGTCATAATATGTTGTTCGTGGAATTGAGCTTGTCAAACACACACACACAAAGGTGTCTGTTACTGTTAATTCAACTTCTGGTTTAGGGATTCTGGATCGCAATAGTAAAGAGAAACAATAACCTTGTGGGTGTGCACATTGAAAGCAACTGGTTCTGGTCTATTTCCCACAAGTTCAGACACTTCCTTGTAGGATAGGTTGCGATCAACAGTGTTGCATATTCAAACAGCAAAATAGTGAATACAAAGCGCATTCACACTGGCTGGGGTGCTTCCACCAAATGGCTGTGAATGTCATACATCCAAGTACTCATGTCAATACTCAAATCTATGTTTGTCGAACTTCGTGGGTTCGAATCGATATAATGATCTTCGGTTTGAGTAAATCTGAAGGGATTGGCAAACTGCTGTATGTACAGGTCATAGGGATGGACACGGTAATGATATCCGCAACTTTAAATTTGTTTTAGTCTTGGTCCAAACCCATGTCTTGACGTGGAAAAAAACACATGTTTTTTGTTTTAAGGAATCTCGATGATCAACGCATCGACCCCCTCAAACCCCAATCAGATTTATTTGCAAAACATCTAAACGCCTCTAAAAGAATCCGAACTTACAACCCTCCCAACCAAGCCCTTCCAACCCGGGTGGTTTTCCGGAACACTTGCTCGCCTGAAAAGTCTCTGTCTGGAGCTCGTGAAGGAGGTCCTCAGGCTTCTCCTCCTCGCTCCCTGCGAAAGAGCCGCAGAACCGGTTCTGGAAAGGCACCAATTTCCAGGACGAGGGTGAAGAAATCCTGCTGCCGGGTGGGGTATCTGTGGCGTGGGTCACATTGCATTGCATGATGTCCAGAATTCATCAGAATTCCATTTGATACTTCAACCAATAGCCTCCCAAGGCCTAGAAAAGAACAGGCCTCACTAAGAGTTCCTGACATCTACAATCATCTATAGTATTATTGCTCATATAACATGTCCAATGTACCATTCCCTTAGTCAAACGGTCTTGCATCGACCCAACACCGACCGATGTCCGATCCGCACCTCGCTGCAACTTCACGTTCGTCTGCAGCAGCTCGGTGCGGAGGTTCTCCGCCTCCTGAAACCAGGTGGGGAGAATCCGCGGTGCTTCTCCGCGGTGCTTCTCCGCGGTGCTTCTCATCGATCCGATCGGACCTCATACCCAAACATCACCTGTCATGGGGGCTGTAACTATATGTGATACGATGTGTCTATTTTGAGTGGTTTGCATGGGTGTAGGCATAGATTCCATGGAGTGCTTGGGTTAGAAACCCCCTCCACTTTGAATGGTACCAAAGTGGGATGGGGAACCCACAGAAGGTTCTTCCAGCCTCTTTGTATATTTCTTGCAGTTTGTTGCTTTTGTCTGGTAGTACGGATGCTTTGGGCGCGTTTAAGAATATATGATTCTATGTTGGTGCCAAGAAGTAGGCTTCTATCCCGGGAACCCCGGTGCCCCTTGTTCTGAAGGGGTAGGAGAGGATCGGAAAGGACCCTGTCCACCCCAGTCATTTCCTGGATCCACACGCTGTGGGACTCCAATCCTCAGGGTCGACCGTTGATCTGATTCGTTCTGATTGCAGGCCCAAGTGGGCAAAGCCTTGAGAGCAACGGAAAATCACTGGCCTCCATCCTTCACTTCAGTCATACATGTAGTTAACTACTATAGAACGAAATGGCCAGAGTTTGAGAGTTTCTCACCCCGAAGTTCTGCCCTACTCAAGGACTTTCGGCTACAGCAAACCATGGAAACTGTGCATAAGGCTTACCTAGAATCCTTCTGGCAAAGAACTTGGTAGTCACGTTCCAATGCTTCCGACAAACCCTCCATGCTTGGCCCAAAAATGAGCAGCAACTTCACACCCGCCCCGGTCGCCTGAAGCACCGGTTGGTCACTATCGCTCTCACACACGCCATCGGGAGCAAGATTGGCGAGGCCTGAAGCAGCTGGCTGGTGTGAAGGACTGGTCTTCATGGATGCTTCTACCTACCAACTGCAGCAACTGCAGCATCCCGGGATTCTTCATGATTCTTCCAGCCTAAGGTTTTGCTTCAAATTGAATCTGCCACCATGATCGGCCCATGCTGGAATTGGGTCAGGGAAACTGGAAAGCCACTGAGGTTCCAACAAGGAGCTGCGGCAAAGGCCACAAGGAATATAGAAAAACGCAGTGCGGTCGACATTGCGCCTGAGTTGGCTCTGTCGAAAGGTGTCTATTGTTGGGCACCGGTATGTTAGATCTGAATCGAAAATTATCTGTATTCAGGAGTTTGTGCGCGACACAATCTTTCCTGAGACTTACTGTACCCACACAAGCTTCACATGCGTGTGCGCATGTGCAGCTCAAACATGCAATACATCAATTCCGTGACATGGGGCTTGGAGATTTGCTTTCGACCGGTGAGTTTAGCTTTGTCTCGTCGAGGCGGTATATCTTCAAATAAAATTTGGAAAGGGTGGGTGGTGAGTCTACACGCTTGGCAGCCACTGCACTGGACAGGTCTATGAGGCAACAAGGATTGTTGGTAGGAAAAACAATAGGCTTCACGATTCAAATTGTGATACATTATATGAATGTGCCTCTATCCAAAATCAAGTACAATCCTCGAGGACACCCAAACAAAGACTTCCTTGCATACATGCGGCGATCCTACAGCCTGCCTTGAAGACTGTTTCTCAACACGTCAACTGCTTGACTTGAGATCAAACATTGAAGCGTGATTCCACTCTGAAAACAGATCGTGAATTCATAGCGCAGCATAGCTTGTTGCAACCTACGAAGCCAATTTGTAATAGGGATCACCATCGATTCGCCAGCCAGCCACACATCCTGCTCCAAGTGGCTGGAAGGGATTGTCCAGCAGTGTCAGTCTCCGCCGAGAAGAAACGGAAGAAGCGGCAGAATCGGTGACAACAGTGGACAAATGGAAGACACAAACCCAACTATAGGGGATAGCGGATAGCGGTGACCGATGTTGAAGGTGCAACATGTTAAAACGACGAAATACCGCATACTGTACTTATGCATACCGTGACTCAAAAAAAACGACTTACCCATACTGTACTGTTCAAACACGCATCAGCAAGAACGAGACTTTGCACTTGTGAGCGCCATCGGACGGGGTGCTGGACTGGGTGCCGGCTGGTGCCGGAAAGGTCCAGAAGGCGTGATGGATTCTCGGGCTTTTCAGCATGTCACACTCAAAATATTTTATCTGTCACACTCAAACAATCTCAAACACTTCCACTTCTACGCCTCAAGATTGCCTATATGGGCCCTGGATGGGTCATGATGGGACTGATGAGCAGTGACTGAAGATCGCTGGTCAACTTCATTGGAGAATTAACAATGCTCGATTTCAATAAAGGAGTAAGTAAACACTAAACAAATACCAGGACACTCCAAGCAGGTGGTTTGTGGACACCAAGGGCACCCCGTTCGTCCCATTTCGATCTTTTCACCGCACATGCGAGATTGATCCAAACAGGTCCAAACCATTCCGGTGGCGCGTCTTGGCCCAGGAACGGTACATGCGGCACGTCTTGGCCACATGCAGTACGTGCGTTAACGTCTGGGTCAGTGGAATCCAAGGTCGACCACTAGGACTATATCTGAAGTTTCACAAGTCTATACAAGTCTCATATCTATGAACCATTATTCAAAACAGTTGAAGGATACCTCAAAACACCACAAAATATAGTTCGTACAGTTTCAAGACAACGCTTCCAAACTCACCCGAAAAAAGCACCTCAACTGGTTTGGACTGTCGGAGCCCTGGACCCGGTGTCTTAACGGACTATGCACAAACACGAACACAGCAGGGTGTTCGCTTCTGGGTTCGCCCCCCCCGAAGGAGCACTTCTCGTCCTCAGCGCCGGAAGAAGACTGGCTCCACCTGGGTCCCATGGGGACCGTCATGCACGGAAGAGAGTCGTTGACACGACGCCAGCCGAGGAAGCTCAAGGCCGCATTGCGGGGTGGTTCTTGACCTTCTGGGATGGTCTGCTGCCAAGTGGTCACATGGTCACACGTTTTGAAAGCATCCGCTCGGCAACCAAACCGGACGAATGGCCTACCCCAAACACTCCATGTATGCGATATTTGCCTTCAGTGCTGGTTAATCCAGTCCGAGATCATGGAGTGTGTGCATGGGGGGGTAGAGGACGCTAATAGGAGCAAAGGGCATCGCTACTAGGAGCAAGGACGCTAGGGGCTCCTGGCCATACTACTAGGAACAAGAACGCTACTAGGAACAAATGCGGACAAAGTTCAGAGGGCACCGGGTCACCGCACGTCGCTACCGCTGTCGTCCTCCTCGGAGTTCCGCCGTGGCGCCTCCCCAGGGTGGTGGACTCGGTCTTTTTAGACCCCATGTGGTTGGTGCATCGAAACAAGGTACTGCTTTAGAGGAGATTCACTTTGGTCTATCCAATTCTGGGTTCATGGCCATTTGTATGTCAAGAATTCCCAATGAGCTTCGTGGCCTCTGCTGTTCTATATTTTGGCGTATCCACAGGCTTGACTTGACCACTTGATTCAATTGGCAGTCTCAAGCAGTGCTTGGACTTTTAAAGAAAGCTGCCAATTGCCAATGACGTGACTTGACTGATCTGCCGTGATGTTTGTTTCGGGTGTGAGTCTTTACTACTTCTACTGCTGCTTCCCAATTTCCATTGTTGTCGAGAAGCAACTTCTCTGATACCAGGAACTGAACTACCATACCTATTGATCGGCACAGCATCGTGCAGTGTACGACGCCAACGAGTTGGCCCTGAGCTGCCCCCAGCCCTGCCCCCACTTCGCACCTGCATGCTGGGCAACGAGCTTGGCATCACAGAGCCCTAGGCACAGAACACGGTCAATGACCAACTGCAGCAGCCGTGACACCGCTACATGTGCATGTTCTTCACTGAGAATCATGCAGAATCCGGCAGAATATTGTATTTCGAAGATTATCAAAGTTATAATTACAAATATAATAAGTACTATAACTAGTTAATATATATATATAATATTATCATATGTTGATTAGATGATCCCAAAAGCTCAGAATCCTGGAAATACCTCTGATTTGTCAATGGCTGCCACTTGAGAGGCCGGGGTGCCCGCACCATCTCTCTCGAAACACCCGTGAACAACTTGAGTGTTAAGAAGGTTAAAGTCTAGGGACAACAACATGTTGCAGCTAAACATGATTTATCAACTCTGGTGATGTTTGTGCACTTTGAACTGTATACCGTTCAAGAACTTGCAACAACCTGCGCAGCATGTCTGGAGACCAGCGCAAGCCACTTCAAAACAGAACACTCACACAAGCACATAATATGTTAATCCCGCAACACAAAAATCAACAAAACATGTATCAATGTTCTAAGCCTGACCTTTGTCTGTGAGCTTTCATCTTTGAAACGCCCCGGGCTGGAGCATCAGAATTGAAATGCATCTGCCTAGTGGAGAAACATCTGCCTAAGGCAAGCGATTGTCTATCGTGGAGCAAAACACGCCTTGATACACAGGTCACGGTGAGGATTTTGTCTTGGTTTTATTAGCATGAACCAGCACTTGGAATGTCTAGAATGCAACTTCAAACTGCTCCAGGACGACAACTAATTAAATGTTCTCCAAATCCTTACAACTATAGAAACATTTCTCTTCAAGAAACAATCAGTTTCCTCAATGCTCTGCATGTTGTTCCAGGCAAGGAAATTTAAATGAACAAGGATGATGGATGCCCTTGCAACCTCATTCTGTGTCCATAGTGTAGCCTCGTTGGGCCACCGACTTTGCTTCTTCGCGGCAAGTCAAGAACATGCCGACACATAAGTGAAACGCAATCATCAAAAATGAGCAAGTCATTCCGAGCCATGCATACCTTCCGCCAGCAATTTGTTAATGGTTCTCGCGGCGAATCGGAGGCAAACCAAACAAATCAAGGCGAGTCTACAGTCGATAGGGGATCGGGATCTGGTCTTTCCACCTTCAAACTTTATATATATATATAACTATATATATAAAATACACAGGAAGAGTTATTGTGTAAATACAGTTTGATGTGGATACTTGTCATATCTTATCATCATTTAGTAATTAATGGACAATGCACAGAAGAGGCAACCAAATTTGCCGAGGCACCAGGCGCCCCCAAAGTAGTACAAGTCAAGGCAGGCCACGAGGAGCTCAGGGATGTCTTCAACCACCCGGAGTCCTGTGTTGAGAGGTCCCCGAAACTCATGCAGCAGCTCCACGTCATCCTCTTTCCTGAGGTGGGTACAGCTGAAGGAATGGAACGGTGTAGAAAGCGTTTTTGAATGGGTGTCCGTTATACAATGCAATGCTTTGTCTGCAACAAAATCAAAAGGGAAAATAACCTAGCAACAGCAACGCCAATAAGCATCACCACTTGGCAAGCTAGGACGATTGCAGCAAAATAACCATTTCTGAGAGACACCCAGAATCAAATTTATCGCCATCAGAGCGTTGAAGAAAGGGATTTCCAAGGCGGCCGCTTTGCCCATGACAGCCTGCCGGGAAGAACGCACTCAAGAGTAGCTCATGTCTTTTGATTTTGGTTGCAGCTTTGATGATCTGATTTGCTTTTCGCAGCTCAAATCCCCTCGCGGATTAATGCTTGTAGGCTCGCATCTGTCTGCTTGTTGTGTTTATTTCATTCGCTAGACTCCTAAGACTTTCCCATTTCAGTCCTCCATCCTCCTCCTCTTCTTCAGCTCTGGCTCGGTCTCCTCAGCTCTTTCCACCTGCCACGACCCGGGTGGCCAAAAGAGAAAAAAGAAAAGCCTTTCGATGAAACCCAGCCTGATTGAAATCTGCCTTCTCTGGCAAGAATGTGACACCAAGTGCCAGAACCCAAGCGCACAAAAGCAGCAACGGGCAAAGGAGGGCCATGGCCAGCACAGAGCTGGTTCCGCCCTCGATTCCAACGATGTAGGTGATGAGAATGAGGAGGAGCAGCGACGTCATGAAGCCACAAATGCGCCTCTGCCAAAGCTGCTGCCTACTTTGTTCCAGCCGCTTGACCAGCGTCCTCGCATAGAACACTGCGGTCCACACAATGGTCAGGCCCAGCGACATGAGTGCGACGAACCAAAGCCCGAAAGCCACACTTGAGCACCCGATGTCACTGCAAGCCATCATCTGCATACTGTAGATGTCATACCGCCCGCAGTTATCCAGCTCGCGGGAGACGTGGCAGCCCGGCATCGGGACCTAGTGATTGCGACAAATGAAGAAACTGGTGTGAGGGAGTAGCTTGGTGTTGCAACAGGTCCAGGATTTTCGTTTCATGACTCCGTCGCAGGATTAGTCTTGAGTCTTGATAGATCTTAATTTAACACTTCCCCGCCCTTCAAATCTGCAGCATATTTGGGTTATCCCCTCTTTCATGACTTCACCAACCTGGATGTCTGCTTCGCAAAACGCCTCCGTGAGTAGGCCCTGATGGCACGTAGGCAGCGCCAGTATTTCACTTTCATTTGGGCATTCCCTGCTCCGCACCGGCATTAGGAGCCCAGAGCCACAGGCAGCGGTGAATCCCATCAGCGTCGATCGCTGGTATGCCCCGAGGACATACAACAGCCTGAAATGTGTCAAACGAATACATAGTTGAAAGAACAGTGAAGTTGTCAAGTCACTTCTGCTGCCCATTGAACGGAAAAAAGGAAATTTAAGTTTGCAACATTATTGTGAATTCAGTTGAACACATACTAGTTCAACCAAGCCCTGAAACGACGACACCAGATTCCCGCTCTCCAATACCATGTTCAATGTCAGCACATGGCAGGAACGTCGAATCCTTCGGGACATCGGCATGGTCTCCTCGGGTGCCGGAGGGTCTGTTTGCTCGGTATCTGCTTCTTTCTGTTCGTGATCTTGTGCTCCGGGTATCTGATGTGTCTGGTGCTCCGGGTCCGGGATGGCTTTGCCCAACATCCGAGCCTCTTGGGCCACTTGGGCTGGTGCTTCACCTGCACGAGCCCAAAGGCGGGCCATGACTAAAGACACGGCTAAGGCCGCAAGGTAAAAGGCCAAAGCGCCCAGGCCCCAAGCGCTCGCATCTGCGAATGCAAACTGACTGGATGCAAGGGCAGAGGGGGGCTCTGTGCGGGTGGTGGTGCTTGTCATGGTCCTGCTGGTGCTAGTGCTGCTGGTGCTGGTCCAGCTGGTGCTAGTGCTGCTGATGCTGGTCCTGCTGGTGCTAGTGCTGGTGGTCATGCTCCTGGTGGTGCTGGTCCTGCTGGTGCTGGTCCTGCTGGTGCTAGTGCTGGTGCTCATCGTCATGGTCCTGGTGGTCGTTGTTGCGATTGTTACAGTGTATACATAGCCCGGATATCCGGTGGCACTGTTGCTTGCCATGACCAGGTACTGGGCGCCGTCTATGATGAAGGATTCCCAGCCACTCGCTCCATCGGTAGCGATGCTCTCAAACTCTACAAAGGAAGTGCCATCCCAGCGGTAAACTTTTGAATCGACGCTGAAAGAAGCACCATTGTAGCGATTGGCCACGACCAAATACAGCGTGTCATGGATGATGAAAGATTCCCAGGCCCTTGCTTGACTTGTAGCGATACTCTGGAACTCTGTAAAAGAAGTGCCATCCCAGCGGTATATTTTGGAATCGACGTTGTAAGAAGCACCACCATGGTCGTAGGAATTGGCCACAACCAGGTACTGGGTCCCGTCGATGATGAAAGATTCCCAGGTAGCGGCTCCATCTGTGGCGATACTCTGGAACTCCACGAAGGAAGTGCCATCCCAGCGGTAGACCTTTGAATCGGCACCATTGTTGTAATTGGCCACGACCAGGTACTGGGTCCCGTCGATGATAAAGGATTCCCAGCTCCATGCTTTCTGTGTAGCTATACTCTGGAACTCCACGAAGGAAGCGCCATTCCAGCGATAAACCTTCGAATCGGCACCTTGGTAGTTGGCCACGACCAGGTACTGGGTTCCATCGATGATGAAGGATTCCCAGCTATTTGCCCCATCGGTAGCGATACTCTGGAAGTCTGCAAAGAAAGTGCCATTCCAGCGGTAAACCTTTGAGTTGGTGTTGTAGGAAGCACCATCGTAGTAGTTGGCCACGACCAGGTACTGGGTCCCGTCTATAATAAAAGATTCCCAGCCCAATGCTCCAGATGTAGCGATACTCTGGAACTCCACGAAGGAAGTGCCATCCCAGCGATAGATCTTTGAATCTACATTAAAATTTGTACCGCTCTTTTCATTGGCCTCGACCAAGTACTGCGTGCCGTCTATCCTCGAACATAAAAACATGCTGCCATGTGTCTTTTTTGTTTTGGGCGTGTGCAAATGCAGCCAACCATCACCCGCTGGTTGAAGATTGTCCCAGAATAGTCATCAGTATCGGGTAATTAATTCGACTATATACATGGCACATAGCATCATATCAGGGGCAAATACCTTGAACACACATGGATACAAATGGGACAGCTTCGCAAAATAGCCGATGATGTGGGTCCTTTTCCACAAACAACACAAAACTTTGACCCCAAAACGATCCAAAAGGAGCAAAGCATCTCAAAGGTATGAAAGAACTGGCAACGGCCATCAGTCGTAATGCTTTGCACTACGTCAATGTGGCTAGCGGCCTTGCCGACAAAGGGCAGGCAAGCCAGCACAACCAGCGCGACTAGCTGCATCATCGGAAGATGTGCGAACGGGGCAAGAATCATTGCCGCCATGTTGTTATAGTTATAGGGTATAAGTCTTATAAAAAGAGAAAATAACAATGCTTGAAGAGAAACTGTGATAGACTTGCAATTGTTCCTATCCACATGCAAAGACTTGGCTGGAGACTGCCTGGGCGAGCGATCTCACTTCAAAAGAAGGCCACCCACCGAATCAAAGTGGGGTGTGGAAGTTCCAGACGCCTGGATGTCTAGTGTTGACGCAAGAACAAGACTTGACACCGCTTTGAACCTCCATTTACCTCAAAAAAACAGCATGAAAACTGCCGTTTTCTGTGGTTCCTTTCACAGTCACGCCTTGAACGACCCCTTAGGTAATTCTTTCTTGGCGGCCGGGCGGGCGCGGTGTTGCCACCCCCACGCATCTAGTGGCACGTGGCGGCTGGCTGGTCATCTAGGACACTCCCACAAACATCCAAAGGATCTCAGATCTCCTCCTTTGTGGCCGTGAGAGCCACTCGAATCTCGACATTTATATATATATATAAGAATTAAATTGAATAAAACATGCCATAACTGGTTGTTTGAAGGTGAGTGGCACTGATCGTCATTGGAACATCAAATTCAGTCAGCATCTCTTTCAAGTTGGTTGCTTGGCAATTCCAAGAATCATCAGAATACACATTCTGCATGCAGAGGGAATGTGCACAGCCCAAAGAGTCCAAGCCAACAAACACGTGTATTCCATTTGTCGAGGGGGCACCTCATCTTGATTAACATCCAGAAAGCAGAACCACCGAACCATCCAACAACACCAGTAGACCAAGCCGAAGAAGCATTGGCTGGGATGGCTAGGGAAATTGTTTGCTCTTTCAATTACCAATAGCTAAACAACAAAAACATCAACGTTTCCTCAAATTCTCAAACTGGCAAAGGGGAACAGCAAACATTTGGTGGGAAGTTGTGGCTTTCCAACACAAATCACTACTAGCCTGAACAAGAACTCATATGCACAAAAAAACACATGAGCAATGGTTCAAACTGTTGCCCTTAATTATCAATATCTCCCCACTCCTGATGCTGAGCCATGCCCTGTCCCCAGCCTGCCGACGCTGAGCCAGCCAATCCTCGGATAAAAGAACAAATGCACATGCAAAGGTGGGAAGGACTTCCTTGTTTGACAAAGAGGTGGAACTATCAAAAAACGCCGGTCCCCATAGCTGATAATGTTCTCATTCCTTCTGGTTGTTCCCCGTTTCAGTTCACTGCAGGTGACAATTCATAGATTCATAGGGTATGCGAGGAACTGAAAGCATTGGCCATAAAGCGACCAAGCCTACTTCAGCTAACGTCTATAATTGAAGGATTTGCCAGCCCAGCACACACATCTCTTTTGACAGCCCAGCAATGGTAATCATAGGGAACATTTCAGAACAGGGACGGCGACCCAATAGTACCCTCAAAAACAAAAACTTCTTCAGTTTGTGACCCAAATCAACATTTGGAGGCGATCTAAAATGATCTGAAGCTGGGATCTGAGTCACTTGGAAGAACCAGGCAAGTGACAACTTGGAACATTGGACGAACCATTCAGAACCCGAAGACACTAAGCTCTCTGCCAGCTCGTCGTCGCTTTCCTGGGCCATCCGGATCAACTTTCCACCTCCATTCGCAAAACTTAATGGAACGTCCTAGTACTAGTAAGTGTGCTTTCTCTGGGGCAGCTTGTTCCGCCAGCTGTGTCTGCAGGTAAGTATAAGTGCTGTCCCTGATGCATTTAGTATACACTTTGTGATGGTCTTTCCGTATTGCATGTGTTGAATGTTCGATGTTCACCTGCATCCAAGAAACAATTACTGTAAACCGTGTAAACCTATCGGAACCTGTGTAAACCTATCGGAACCTGTCACCCCAAGTGCCCCACCCACGAATCCATGAACTGACAGGAAGCGCACAAAACTTGCCAAAGAACTTCTGTGCAAAAGAAAAGATTGTAACATATAGCAAAACCATACAATCACTCATACAATCGTACACTCGCAGCCCTCGCAGGCGCCTGGTCGCTCTCCTCCTTGGCCGCAGCCAAGGCCCATGCCTCATGGGTTCGGATGAACAGCAACCACCCAATGAACTTGAATGCCTCAAACGGGAGGTCAGCCGTCTTTTTACCTACTATGACAGTTACGCAGGTGTCTACTTGATTGATTACAGTTGGCCAAGAGCCCTCTAAGGGTCTTGCTGGGACTTGGCCAAGCCAACGCCTCCAGCCCTTTACGCCAAACTCTTCGCTCAGTTCGTTTGCCAAATGGTACCTGTCTTCGGCTTGGTCAACAACCTGTCTTCGCGATCTGCACCGTCTGAGTCCCGAGTGTCTAATCCCTTGGTCAGATTAAACAAGGTCAGTCCCCAATCTAAACCGAGTCCTATGCCGTCATCACCATGGCACAAGCTCCCAGGCATTGCATTCCCGCCGCTCAATCGCGGGACACGGTGTCATCAAGTTTCATCCTGGTGGTGCCTACAGCCCTACCGACATCTACCACATTGGAACATCTTGGACCCTCAAAAAACAGAAGAGTCGTTCTCCAGCTGAAACACCGACACCTCATCTCAATCATCCGGAGTGCTGCGGAGAGGTGGAGAGGTGGAACAGAAGTTGCTGCCGAGGAGCTCTCAGGTTCGAGCCGCTGCTGGGGCCCAGGTTCACACGCGCCTGAGAGGATGCAGCTCAGCGATTTAGGCTGTCTTTCGACGATTCTGGGGATCCAGTCCAAAATTGATGTTCAGGGCGCAAATCCCAGAAAATTGGGGAACAAACAAGCCACTTACTTGTAGCAAAGTTTGCAGAGGTCTGTCGCAGCTAGGATCAGCTAAGTAGGCGTTTACGATGTTTTAGTGTGTTTTAGTAGGTTCTTGTCAGCATGCGTGGATTCGCCCCATATTATCTTCGTCCATGCCAAATCCAATTCATGCCACCCTTGGAACAGGGGCCTCATCATCCGGAAAGTGCACGTACTCCAACATCCAAAAACCTCTTCAAAACATCCAGGAGATCCAAAAACAACGCATCCTGGATGAGTGCGTCTGGCGTTTTGCCCCCATGGATCCGACCCGACCGGTCGGCCACACGGGACCAGTGCCTTTGGGTCCGACCCGACCGGTCCAAATTCCAGGACCGACTTCGTCGGGTGAATCGTCTGTGGCTCCGAGGCACGAATGGATTTTCGGGGACCAAGCAACATGGAAGGCCCGCCTAGCATCTTCTAGCTTGGTATGTATATAAAGCCAATCTGGAGACATCTTTTTGGTGATCCCCAAATCGAACTGAATTGCCTGAGAGAATATGCATTGGACATTGCTCCACACTCCAATTTGCACACTTTGGGAACATTGGGAATTCACACACATCCTCCAACATGTTCGACCACGGACCAGTCCCAACTTAATGTGCTGAAATTTTAGTTATTCACCCAGGCCATGGCCATCCAACAGATGGGAAAAAATAGGAGACATTCTTCTGTCATGTCCCTTTTCCATGATTTCCTGTCAACACAACGTTGTTTTTCAAGTAGCAGGTCGGTGCTCACCATGGTCATGGCCGTGGTCGCCGAACCACAACCCTTCCCCGGAACTCCATTCCTGCTGGGAAGTTCCAACTGGTTGAAACTTGGCCATACTGAAGATCTCCTCTTCCTGGAAAGCTGGGGTGCGAAAAAGGCGCGGACCGTTCTGCAAAACCAGTTTTGTTAAGCTCTGCTTCAAAGCAAAGTCATATCAGCCAATCTCAACATTCTTGAAACCAAAGGTTTGAGATCTTACAAGTTGGTAAAAACTACTTAAAACTAGTTCTCTTTAGATCTTGCTGACTTGTCAGATCATCACAACCTACGGATTTACAGACCTTCAGGCCTTAAAGAAGTGCGTAGAAGTATGTTTCAAGGGCAGGTTACGGTGTAGCCCTCCAGAAGCAACATATCTGCAGAGATCTGCAGCAGGAATCACCCCTCTCTCCATTGATCTGATTCAACTCAAACACTCGTTCTTGGGGGTGCCCACTGTTGATTGGCACAGAACCCAATACCAGTGCTACCTATAATTGTATATTCATGTGTGCCAGTTGTTGTCTTCCTCACTGCCATCTTCTGCTGACATCTTTCGGCACGATAAGACTGAACAATATACGTATCTTGTCTTTCCGTTCATTCTTGAAGACCGAGGGCCATGAGAGGGCTGCGATGGCCTTTTTCGGCTCACTTCGGCCACCTCACCGCCGCTCGGACCTCATCGGACTCCTCCGGCTCGAAGGCACCGCGTGCACCTGAAGTACAGGCTGCTCGGTGGAGGGATGTCGAGAACTCGAGTGGTGGAGGTGCGGCAAAGCGCAAGAACGGAGAGGAAACTCAGCTTCCACACGTCTTCATAAATAAATTGTCACCAGAATGGCTTTACACAAGCATGTGGTGGTTATTCATTTTGTTAACAACCAACATTACTGCATTTGCACGTGCTACTACTTTTGGTACTACTACTGCTGCTGCTGCTGCTGCTGCTGCTGCCACCCTCCTTCGCAAGGCCGATGCTCGAGGCTCTGTCTCTCATAGGTCAAAGCGATGGTAAAGCGGCCCGGAGAATATTGGAGCCACATGTTCTCATTCTTCTCCAGGAGTCCGGCAAAGAAGGTTGCTAACATGTTAGAAGCATGAAAAGGGACTGACACCTTCGGATGGTTCCATCCCCACCACGAACAAGCACATGCCACCGGCATGTATGTATGCCAATGTATGGTGATTCTACATGTGTTGGATGTTCTCTCAGTCGAATTTGTTCGACTGCTCTGAATACTTGCAGGCTTCGAATGGTTTCGTCTGCACCCATGTAGAATACACGGCTGCACCCATGTAAAATCGCCGTTTCGCCCTCTTTTCATGTCGTGTCCATCATTCTTTCCCGGACGACACTTCGCTCGACTGGAGCTCACCCAATTTCTGCAGGGACCTTAGGGGGGTGGGACGTGTGGGAGGAGTCCACTAAGCCAGGCCGAGGGTGGTTGATTT